AGTGTAAGTCATAAAAAGGTTTACACTTAGAAAATTGCTTATTATTTTAAAAATTATCTATGAACTGTAAATTATTATACATCTTATGAAAGAGTGTTTTATCCCGAGACATTTAGAATCATTTTGTGTGGTATGTGTTCACGCTTCGATGAACAGCAGTCATTGTCTGCGAGAGTGCAAAAAAAAGACACGGTAGATCTCGATAATCTTACTTGATATGCACAACAAACATATAAATATTTACATGTAAATAATGAATGCTAGGATAACAAAATCTCTTAATATACACAGCAAAACTTATGAATTCAAGCCAAATACAATATAAATAAATAACATAGACATTTCATTCTCGATGTAAATAACTGCATTAAACACATAGCAAGATAACATTATCATTCTGTATGACAGCAATTTTTTTTCTAGTATTAATGTTATTTATGCAGAGCCATATAACTGTACACAGAATTTGGCCAAATTGCTTTCCGTTAGATCACAACGTAGCAGCAACAAAGCAGTATTCGCCATATATCTTGTGACCAAATATCCCAATCAATGGCGCTGCTACGAGATGTTAAAAGGCGCCACCATCTAGAACAACGTCAAAAACAACTTGCTTTTCATTTACACGGTGAGCTGTTTTCATTCAGAAGGAGTGTGGTCCCGGGTTATTGTCAAGGCGATGATTTGTGTAGCAATGCCGCGTCTTATCTGGGCCATAGCCATCTAATACACAGAGTTTGGCCAACTTGGTTAGTCAAAAGATAGTGTATGTGTTCTGTGCTTTCCCAACAAAGCATTATTCGCCATATTGTGCCCAACTCGAACCGGGTTGGTCAAACTCTCATTATCAATTAAATAGCACGGTGAACGCTTTGCTCATGATACGATAAGTATCTACTTTAAAAAAAAAAAAACAACATAGGGTTTTGCGCACGCCTATTTTTTGTAATGAATCTTTGCAAAGTATCACTAAATTACATTATGACAAGCATATAAACAATGTTATAGTATACAAATAATGAATGGTTATGAGTTCAAAAGTGCGAATATTTGAAAGATTAACATTCTATTCAACGAGGCGTCAGCCGAGTTGAATAGAATTAATGTTAATCTTTCAACGAATGAAAATATTCGCACCATTGAACGAATGAAAAACATTCATTATTTGTTTTATACAACATCGAAGAAGATCTAATAGAACGTTAATCAACAAATTATGCTTTACTCCTTATATTAAAGATAAAATTCAAGTTGGATTCAAGCCTTCTCGATTACATTCAGATTGCCTTCGCGTCAGATACACGCAGGGATACGCGCGCGCACGGCAGAGAGGTACGCAGTCTGCATATAACCAAAAATGCACGGCGCATATAACCAAAAATGCACGACCGTGCAATATACCATATATTGAATATCATGTGACCAGTGGCGTACGCAGGATTTTTTCAAGGGGGGGGGGGGTTTAAAATCGGGTCCAAAATTTCGCAACGACTCAGGAAAATTTGAAAATCGCGCCGGCCAAAAAGTCGCCCAGTGGGGGGGGGGGGGGGGTTAGGGATTTTTTAGGGGGTTTATACACATAAAAATACCAAAGGGGGGGGGGTTTAACCCCCCAAACACCCCCCCCCCCCTGCGTACGCGCCTGCATGTGACCAACAATCCTCCAATCAAATGGCAGGGATCCACGTAGGTGTTGTATAAACTACAATATTCATATTACATAGTTAATCATATTTCAAGGCGTTTAGAAAATAAACACTCAATATTCACGAAAACGATAAACACGCAATGCATTCGTACACTTTGATGAATTCAAATTATGATATTAAAAAACAGAACTTTAAACCTAATTAGAAACATGAGGAACGATTACATGTCAAAATCTTTCCAATCGTGAATGAGAGAAATCAAAATATAATAAATTGATGCAAACTGTTAATAAATCAGGACACCGATGCATAAAGCTAACCACTAATGGTAGCTTTGCAATAAACAGTGTCTTCCATGGAAACCTTGATTTGATTGGCTTTTGAGCGATGTTGCCGTTTAAGTTAGTAATGATGGCAAAGTTACCGTCAATGGTAAGTTTTATGCAACGAGGCCTTCATGATGAACAACAAGAGTGTGATAATTCAAATATTTCAGTAGAAATAAATCAAGCCTATGATTGCATTTTAAATACTTTTGCTTGTTTACAAAGCATTGAATGGTCAAGCCCCAACTTATTTGCCTTAATTGATTGAATTGTCCGAAGTCTGAAAGTGCATGCTAATTAAAATGGCAATGAAAGGGAACTAGAATGGTGAGACAAGTTTAAAAAAAGGTTTAAACATGACACTCCAAAAAAATCACACCTGATATAAGTAACAATTCTCAATCTGGTAAAAACAGACGACTTCCTTGCATCCCAATCTCTGAATGGAACAAATAACCATGTCTCTTTGTTTTTTATTTTGTATTTATTGTTTTACCAGGGTAGCCCATTCAACAAAAGTTGGGATTCCATCGGGCCCTGAAAATACATCACAACTATTTACAAAGATAAAATACAATCAAAAGAGCATACAAATTTAATTTACACTTAACTATTATTACACATTATAAACCAATTCAGTGAAATCGTACGAGATTTAAAACATAATAAATAATCAATATCAATCATAAAGCCGGAAATAGTGAGCACGAAAACAATATATGAGGGTCAATTGCCAAGAGACGAAAGGGAAAAAATTATAGTAAGAAAGAAAGAAAATCAGAAAGAAAGACAGAAAAAGAGGCAATAGGCAGGGAGAGAAAGATTGCGAAAAGTATAAAAAAACAGAGTTACTATATTTTTCATTTCTACCCGTCTTTTGGTTGTATCTGATTTCAAGCCGTGACATCTTTGATGTGTTCCTACAGCAGAACCTGACACACAGTGTGGTAGTTCTCATTGCACATGCTATTTTCCCACTTCTCACTCTGCAACCCAACGGCGACACAATCATGTTGATTTCCTCCACTCGGCTCGTCATTGTTCCAATCTACACGAGAGAAATGATTACAAATAAAGATATCTTTGATACTGTTGTTCCATAGCATGACAGTAAAATTATATTTCAAAATATGTCGTGGAAGACGCATATTAGTGGGCACCCATAGGGAATTCGACACCATTCTGGTGTTTACCCTATAGGTGCTGTCCATTACTAGGATTAGCCTTCAGTTTCTTGACCGATAGGCTTTATGTAATGCTCTGCTTTATTGGTAGAATTCGATTGGATAATATAGATTAGACAACAATTAAGACTATATGGCGATAATTGACAACGAGAAATAAAAGGCCTTTTTTAGAATATAAAATATGAAAACATGATTGAAAAATTATACCATTTACAATATGTCGACCATTGTAGATTTAGTGAAATAAATGTTAAGTTGGCAGGGGTGGCATATCGCAACCGATCACTTTCTGGCCTAAAGTCTATTCCCATATCCTTGTGTTTTTAACACCATCACATAGTCTCTCAAGAAATAAAATCAAGGGTAATTCAATACCACATTATACTGCTATAGGCATGCCTATATAAATCGTGTTCTTGTCACGTAAGATGTCATTTTAATGTTCGCATGTTTGAATAGGTGACTAACAAGGCTCTTGAAATTGCTTAGGTTGATTTTCTGAAAGTTTTTTGGGATCGTTGTAGGGAAAATATAGTTAAACCTTATGTATCAAAGTTTTAAGCTATCAATAACCTGCTGTATACCCCCGACATTCTTTTTTCAAATCAAATTGTGTTAATCGTAATTGTTTATTAGCTGTTGACACTCAGTGTCCCCTCAGGGTCCCCTCTGTAAAAGAGCTTTGTTATGCTAACAACGCTGAGGAGGGCCATCCCTCCGTCTTCTGTGTGTCTTTATGATTGTAAATGTTATGTTGATGTTTATTTAAATGACGGAAAATATACAATACAATACAATACAGTGTTTGGCATGTCCAATGTTCCAAGAGAAGTCCATTAAAACGGGATATTAAGCCTCGTCCTGATATGACACGACAAATCAGCGGCGGTCATTTTAATTGTTTTAATGGCGTAAACTGTGATACGCTTCACATTATAACATATCGCTCACTGAATACGCACAGGAGCTATGTTGTCTGCAGATGCTTATAATTTATAGCCCCACTGTCCTACTTGAAGCTACTTGCTCCCTCTATAAAGAAAACTTCCCAAATCGGTGCCTGTTGGTCCCCCATGATCCTCTTTTTCTTATGTTAGTTGAGAGCTGAGTTAATGAGATAGCCACCTGTCAGTGATCTCGCTGTGTGGTCTAATCCCTTCTGGCCCAGTAGTAATGACGGTCTTTAAACAAAACAGAAAAAACGTCCAAAACACGGTGGCTTTCTTGCGGCAGTTTACAACGTGATGTGAACGATGATGCGATACTTACTCTCTTGAGCGGCAGTATGTAGAGATCCTGTACCGTCCACGTCACAGATGAGCGTACCTTCATTTGCCGAGTCACTGCAATTGATCCAGACCTTAGTACTAAGTGAAAATAGATTCTCGATTTTTTCGAAATCGGGATCGTTATCATTAAATAGTAGAGACGGGTCCTTTTCTCCTGTTGCAGTGGTGACAAGACCCATGTTGGTGCAGAGATTTTTGGCTTCTTGCCAAGATCGTTCGCCTGTAGCAAGATGGTAACACTTGGTGGATGAGCATTTCCAATTCAAATCTGCAGAGGATTAGGAAGAAAAACATGAACTAGACTTTAATTCGTCACTTAGACGAATTAGGTGATACGAATGATAATGGTTAAAAAAAAGAATAATGCATTACACGATATATTATTTTATAAAATGCTTCTCCCATTATGATCTATCCATATGTCAAGATTAAATTGTGTCTCCTTGATCATCATGGATCTAGGGAAGATATGTTGAGACGATATATGACCATTGACCCTTTGCAGTAACCTTTGACTCTAATTTACATCATGAAGAACGCATTTTGACGATTTTTATCTTATTCAAAGAAATGATCCCGGCATATGATCGAAACATAAAGTGCACACTGGAGATATCTTATTCTCTCAGCTACAACATACTCGAAGCTCAGCGAAAACAAAGCTACAACAATGGAGATATTGCTCACGAAAGACGGAAATGTAGAATCCAGTTTTGAGAAAAAGTCATGTCCCTTAGAGAATGCACGCAAAATGTGAACAATTGACATGCCTCCTTTAATCGCAAAAATACGCCATGATGCTTTTGTCAAACTGAAAAATTGTGGATACTGCATTTGTAGAAAATAGTCTCAGTTAGAACATATCAAATTTGGAAGAGAAACAATCAATATTACAGAGATACAATCAATTTTCCTAAAATATGCAAACGTCATAATATGCAAATTGAAATTTTGAATTCGGAAGCCATTATGATGACATTATGAGGTAATTGAGGGTCAAATGAGACATGAAATCATATTTCCAACTCATAATCTATCCACATGTAAAAAATATTGGGAGTTCCTATCTATGAAATCATATTTCCAACTCATAATCTATCCACATATAAAAAATATTGGGAGTTCCTATCTATTCTGAAGAGTTACAACGAATTTCGTATAGGCATGTTTTTGCCCTTGTATTGGGGAAAAAGATAACGCAGATCTGCGCGTGCTGTCAACTTTGACGGACGCTCAATGCGTTATTAAAAGGTGAACAAGTAATCAAAATGCTTGGAAAAATGTGCCAAATACGATGACAGAGAAAATTTGGCGATTCTATGTTGCAAGATGCTAGTACGCGCAAAAAACGCGCGCCCATGTGCGTGTTCATGATTTTTTTTTCGAATGCTCCATATGGCCTGAAACGTACGCCAAAAAAAATTGGGATGATTTGGAGTATTTTAAATTTTTGCGCGCGCGTAAACGCGCGGACGAACGCGCACGCGCGCATTTGCGCACGTCTAATCATGATAAATATGAATGAAAAATGGCTTTCCGTTATGAAGATATGATCATAAGTTGATTTTCACAAAATGGCGCCTGGATGACGTCACGATAATTTTGACTTTTTAAAAAGTCATGCAGTTCTAAGTTAGACTAAGATCTATCATCATGGCAAGTTTCATAATGATGGCTTTATTCAGTCTTGAGATATTTTGCGAAAAAAATTATGGCAGATTAATAAATAATAAATAAAGAAAATCTTGACGAAATCAATAGGTGATACGTAGACTTCGTACGTATCACCTAATAAGATGGTTATTTTTTGTCCAATGTTCGATTATAGAGCTGAGGGAGGAGCAATTCACATTTGCTAAAAATTGATATCATCCAATAAAACAATTATAGCCAATGCCCATTCCCATTCTTGCCCATATAGACTATAGTCTTTTCTATAGTCGGGGCTAGTACTACCCTGATTTCCTTATCTTTCTATGCTCATTACTCAGCCAGTATACACTTTCTTCCAAAATTGTTTGGCACATGACATTTATTTGTAATCTTGAACATTCCGTGTAAGTTTCGTTAAATTCTGTGAGAATTCATTTTTTTTTTTTTTACCAGAACTCAAGTTTATCTTTAAACTCCCCTGCAGGTTTCATAAGAACAATTATTTTTGAATCAAAGGCTAGAAATGTTTTTGGTGGCTGTCGGCATGGTTTGGTGCATGGTGATTTATGAAGTACGAGCTCTAGCTCACACGATGCTTTTATCTAGATCATCACAACGTAAGGTTGTGGTATAGAAAGCAGTAGAAAGAGGGAGGAATAGGGAGGCCACACCGCCCATGATTAATGCCCATTGTTTTCACCATGCGAGCCTGACATCTAAGATTATATGGGGGTAATTTGGGATAGCCTAAAATGAGTTTGGCTGTGACACTAGTGTGCCCTTCATGTATTATATTCTCAATCACAAAATGCACATTACCAAATACTCATGAACCCTGCCCAAATCATCAAAACCAATTTTCGGGGAAAATATAGGACATTATAATGTCAATACTAATTGGGAATTTAGAAAATTATTTCGTATGAATTATAGCTTTCTGATCGAGTTGCGAAGTAGTATTTGTCTTTAAAACTCAGATTTATCATTATCCCATTTCCCAAACCGTTTTGATCTGGTTCTTTGATCTTTCTACTTTTATTATAAATAAATTACGGGGTTAATTGTATTGGAAAAAGCTTCAATATGAAAGCATTTAGTATTGACTTACCAGCTGGTAGGACGCTGAGTGTAAACGAACAATCTGTGTTAGTCAGTCCATTATTATCAGTCACAGTGTAGGTAACTGTGATTGGATTGTCAACAGAGACTTCAACTCCAGACTGATGGTCAGAGACAATGGATTGAATCCCAGCTGCATCAGTAGCTGTTGGTGGTGTCCATGTGAAGGACTTGGTAGTAGTGTCAACAGGAACAGTGATTGTCTCGTCTGAGGGACATGCACTGACAACAGGAGGATCTGTATCCGCTGAAATACCAATATCATGCAAGAAAAGTATTTAAAATACATTCATATTTATATCAGTCTGAATATTTTGCCTTTGACCATAACATCAGTCACAATAAAAATTTATATTTTAATGAATTTATTTGGAAATCTTCTTGACCAAAGTCATGTTCTTTTTCTAATCCTTAGAAAACAGTCAATACCTACCTTCTTGTCCGACGCTGAGGGCAAAAGAACAGTCTGTGTTAGTCAGTCCATTATTATCAGTCACAGTGTAGGTAACTATGATGGGATTGCCAACAGAGACTACAACTCCAGACTGATGGTCAGAGACAATGGATTGAATCCCAGCTGCATCAGTAGCTGTTGGTGGTGTCCATGTGAAGATATTGGTAGTAGTGCCAACAGGAACAGTGATTGGCTGGTCTGCGGGACATGCACTGACAACTGGAGGGTCTGTATCCGCTGAAATACCAAGATAATGCAAGGAAAACATTAACATTTGATCCACAGGCATGTTGTAACCCCACAGTTTCTACAACTTTGATTATCTTCATTCCGACAAAAGAGAAAAGGTGTGGATATAATGAAAAAAAATGAACTTCGTGATTGGTAGCGCTCTAAAGCTCACAATTCCTAACTTGATGAAAACTACTTTTTTCTTTCTTTCTTTGTCTTAGTTGTAATCAGCTAATGTAACTCTTGTATACAAGTACTTTTTCGTTTTATGACTTCCCATCTCCTTTCATAATACGCAAGGCAATTTGTTCATATTTATGGAGGGATTAAATTTCAAAAGGGACAGTTTTGTCATAGGTGAAGGTAAAGGGCATTCATTTTCTAGTAGGTTGAAATTGATCAATAAACTGAGCCACATATAAGATGAAACCTTGTAATCCTAAATATTAGAGCAATCGCATGAGTACAGCAGTATAAAAATGATATACCTTAAAAATAGTTCATTATATGAAATGAAGTACAAATATGTCCAATACCTTCTTGTAGGACGCTTAGAGTAAAAGAACAGTCTGTGTTATTCAGTCCATTATTATCAGTCACAGTGTAGGTAACTGTGATGGGATTGTCAACAGAGACTTCAACCCCAGACTGATGGTCAGAGACAATGGATTGAATCCCAGCTGCATCAGTAGCTGTTGGTGGTGTCCATGTGAAGGAATTGGTAGTAGTGCCAACAGGAACAGTGACTGTCTTGTCTGCGGGACATGCACTGACAACTGGAATGGTCGTATCCGCTGAAATACCAAGATAAAGGAAAACATTTTGATCCACAGGCATGTTGTAACCCCACATTTTCTACAACTTTGATTATCTTCATTCCGACAAAAGAGAAAAGGTGTGGATATAATGAAAAAAATGAACTTCGTGATTAGTAGCGCTCTAAAGCTCACACTCCTAACTTGATGAAAACTACTTTTTTTCTTCTTCTTTGTCTTAGTTGTAATCAGCTAATGTAACTCTTGCATACAAGTACTTTTTCGTTTTATGACTTCCCATCTCCTTTCATAATACGCAAGGCAATTTGTTCATATTTATGGAGGGATTAAATTTCAAAAGGGACAGTTTTGTTAAAGGTGAAGGTAAAGGGCATTCATTTTCTAGTAGGTTGAAATTGATCAATAAAATAATGAGCCACATATAAGATAAAACCTTGTAATCGTAAATATTAGAGCAATCGCATGAGTACAGCAGAATAAAAATGATATACCTTAAAAATAGTTCATTATATGAAATGAAGTAAAATATGTCCAATACCTTCTTGTAGGACGCTAAGAGTAAAAGAACAGTCTGTGTTATTCAGTCCATTATTATCAGTCACAGTGTAGGTAACTGTGATTGAATCGCCAACAGAGACTACAACTCCAGACTGATGGTCAGAGACAATGGATTGAATCCCAGCTGCATCAGTAGCTGTTGGTGGTGTCCATATAAAGATATTGGTAGTAGTGTCAACAGGAACAGTGACTGTCTTGTCTGCGGGACATGCACTGACAACTGGAAGGGTCGTATCCGCTGAAATACCAAGATAATGCAATGAAAACATTAAAATTTGATCCACAGGCGTGTTGTCACCCAAAATTGTCTACAACTTTGATTATCTTCATTCCGACAAAAGAGAAAAGGTGTGGATATAATGAAAAAAATGAACTTCGTGATTGGTAGCGCTCTAAAGCTCACAATTCCTAACTTGATGAATACTACTTTTTTTTTTCTTTCTTTGTCTTAGTTGTAATCAGCTAATGTAACTCTTGTATACAAGTACTTTTTCGTTTTATGACTTCCCATCTCCTTTCATGATACGTAAGGCAATTTGTTCATATTTATGGAGGGATTAAATTTCAAAAGGGACAGTTTTGTTAAAGGTGAAGGTAAAGGGCATTCATTTTCTAGTAGGTTAAAATTGATCAATAAAATAATGAGCCACATATAAGATAAAACCTTGTAATCCTAAATATTAGAGCAATCGCATGAGTACAGCAGAATAAAAATGATATACCTTAAAAATAGTTCATTATATGAAATGAAGTACAAATATGTCCAATACCTTCTTGTAGGACGCTTAGAGTAAAAGAACAGTCTGTGTTATTCAGTCCATTATTATCAGTCACAGTGTAGGTAACTGTTATGGGATTGCCAACAGAGACTACAACTCCAGACTGATGGTCAGAGACAATGGATTGAATCCCAGCTGCATCAGTAGCTGTTGGTGGTGTCCATGTGAAGGAATTGGTAGTAGTGCCAACAGGAACAGTGATTGTCTTGTCTGCGGGACATGCACTGACAACTGGAGGGTCTGTATCCGCTGAAATACCAATATCATGCAAGAAAAGTATTTAAGAAAAAATTATATTTATATCAGTCTGAATATACTGCTTTTGACCATAACATCAATAAAAAATAAAAGTTAATTTTTGATTAAATTCTTAATTTTGAAATCTTCTTAAACAAATTCATGTTTTTTTTTCACTGCCAGAAAAACATTCGATAGCTACCTCCTTGTCCGACGCTGAGGGTAAAAGAACAGTCTGTGTTAGTCAGTCCATTATTATCAGTCACAGTGTAGGTAACTGTGATTGGATTGCCAACAAAGACTACAACTCCAGACTGATGGTCAGAGACAATGGATTGAATTCCCGCTGCATCAGTGGCTGTTGGTGGTGTCCATGTGAAGGAATTGGTAGTAGTGCCAACAGAAGCTGTGAACGTTTGGTCAGGGGGACAGGAGTGGACCTCTGGCAGGGTGGCATCCACTGAAAGATCAAATTGACGTTTTTGTATATGGTTAAATAATAATAATAATATTCGGCTCTTGTAGTGCATATCACATATCTCTTCCAAAGAGGTTTTGAAATGTTTACCCCGGCTTTAGCATGGCTGGCACTACGGCACTCTTGCAATTCAAGGAATTAATTTTTCCCAGCTAGGTACCATTTACCTGACCTGGGTCGAGAGTGGCAAATGTAGATTAATGTCTTGCCAAAGGATATAGTGCCACGGGGGATTTGAACCGCGGACCTTGCGATGCACAGTCCGGTGATATATCCACTAGCTTATACCACGACGCCTCTACGATTTATCTTCAAAATTGTAAATTGAATTTAATCTAAAGTCTTTTAAGATATCATACAAACTTAAGCTCGTAAATACATACACTTACTGAAACGTATGAAAATTGGGCAATTTCATGATTTATTCGACTTCAGAAAAGCGGTTGAAATTAGTTTATATTGTATGAATGATCATCTCAGCAGCACGTATTATTATTAGCGCTGTTTGGGGGTGAAAGCATGATGCCATTTACCAAAATGCACTGTCAGAGTGTCAAGTAATTCCCCGTCCAATAATCTATTAACAAAGGTAAATATTGTTTTGCTATCTATTCGTTAACTTTTGTATCATTACAGAATATTTTTTTCACTCATAAGTATTATAAAAAAGTTTGGAGTATTGGCCGTTATTTTAATCTCTTCAGGTAAGGGCTTCCGAATAAAATTATTACTTGAAAATCATGAGATGGGATGTTTAAGCCGTAATTAGCAAATTTGCTTTTTATATTAATCAACATGACTTCGATCACACGGTGATTCTTGTTCATTGAAATTCAGTTATCAAACTATTGTGCAGTTTTGTTTATAATGAATTATTATTATTTCTTTCTTGCAACCAAACGTTGGATTTCAAAAACAAATGTAAACAAGCAGATAATATCAATACTAGAAATAATTTACACAATGAAAGTGTAGAGTTTGATAAATAATAGATAAATAACAAGTTTTAGCTACATCAATCTATTACACAATATCAAATAAATCCGTTAGCTTATGGCATACGAATAGCACTCAAGGTTAGTGAAAATTGCAGGAATTATTTCAAAATGTGATAGGGACCCGGGGGTGGGGTACTCACATATTAAGACATACGGGGGTGTGCCGCTCTAATGGGTCATTTGTTCTAAAAAAAAAATCCCTAAACAAGGGTACCATTTTTAACAAAAATATCCCAAAACATGGGTCCGTTTTTTTTAATTTCCAAAGACAAATTGCGAAAAATGGGCTTTACTCCGAGAAAAATTTGAATTCCACTTTATGATAGTCCTATTAGCATGATAACAAAAAATATTGTAAGATGCAGGGGCGTACGCAAGATTTTTTCAAGGGGTGGGGGGGGGGGTTAACATTTTGAAATCAGCCCGCCGCTGAATAAGCGGGGGGGGGGGTAAGAGGACATTTAAAAAAAAAAAAAATTTGGTCTCTAAATTTGAAAATTTGACATTTTGCTCCGTAGGGGGGGGGTAAGGTCACTTCTTTTTAGGTCAGTCATTGGTTGAAAAAAAATCCAACAAAATGGGGGGGGGGGGGTTGCTCAAATATACACACATAATACACATATACAACAAAAATAAAGGGGGGGTTAATCCCAACACCTCCCCCCCCCCACCCCCTTCATACGCGCCTGACAAGATGGATGAATCAAAACCTAATGTGACAGGTATAGCAAATCGGTGTGCAATCTGAATCACAACAGGGAATAGAAACCACGATTTCAGAGGACACTTTTTTTGGTTTTTTTTGGTCTCGAAATTTGAAAATTTGACATTTGCCCCGTTGGGGGAGGGGGGGGTAAGGTCACTTTTTTTTTTAGGTCAGCCATGGGAATGAATTTTTTTTTTTTTTTTTTTTTTATTATTTAAAAAAAATAAAATAAAATAAAAAAAACCTAAAGGGGGAGGGGGTTTAGGTTTTTTTTTAGGGGGGTTTATACACATAAAAATACCAAAGCGTAGGCGCCTGTCGCTGCTTAGGCATTGTTGGATATATATAGCGAGGGCGCAAGTAGCTACAAGTAGGCAGTCCCACTTTAAGGAATGTAGCCATGCCGATATCTCTTAACTAATATGGTAATACACATGCAAATGAATGAATGAATGAAATGAATTAACCGAGTATGAATCATTCACCCATCAGCTCGATTTATTCAACATGCTCTTTAATGAATGTCATTAACTTGAGTACCATTCTTCATCAACAGATTAAAGGGAAAGTCAACCATGTATATTAATTTTAGTTCTCAGTGGTCTATATCGTTCAAAAGTCATCGTTTATCAATATTTAATGAAAATAAAATAAGGTATGAATGAGTGAATGAAGTAAAAAAAGTTTTTTTTTCTATATGACTGAAAACGAAGAAGAAAAATGAATAAATGAATTCATTCAAGAATGTATGGATGGATGAAATAATCAATTATTTAATCATTACAAACATTCTTATTTAGCAAATCAAATAATGAAAAAAAAAAATTTACCTGCTGGTGACGTTGTCTGGCCAGGAATTTTGATCGTATCAGTCAAACCTAACAAACATTAAAATAAATTGATAATAATCCATTCAGACATTCTATCAACTCATATGCTCTCCGTCATCTATTAAAATGATTCAATTTTAGCTACCAGAAAAATTCATTTGTCTTTCCCGAAAGGTATATTATAGTCTGATACATGCTAAAAGATAAAGGAAATAACTCAAGACAGAAGAAAAGTATGGAGTGTTTTTCATGTTTAAAACCTGCTATACAGCTTTAAGCACGAGAGACTCGCATCTTCCTGGCATAACGTAATATAATAAATACGTTTATCCCATCAGTGCTGTTGTTCTTGACGGCCCTGCAATTATTATTACCTCTACAATTATCAGGTACCCATTTACACCTGGGTGGAGGGTGGAAAATGTGGATTAATGCCTTGCCAAAGGGTGTTATAATGCCGGGCTTGGATCTACCCTTGGATTGAGGGTCAAGTGAACGAACCACTATACCATGACACCTCTATAATTATGACACATGATCATAGAGGTATTTACAATTCATTCTCTGATGTATGCCGGGATGTATAGATGGAAACTTGTCGCGTCCCTTTACACTAAAAAATATTAAGTATATACATGCATATCCTTTCATGATTATGAATAGTTTAGCAAAAGTAGGAATGAGAATAGCCCTTATTTATCATGAGAATTCTTATGAACAACGGACATTTCAATAATACCTGGAAATGATGTAATGCTGACGAACAATCTCAATATAGAATAATTTAAAACGTATGTAAAACGTATGACTAGATGCTTGTACATATATTCCGTGGTAAACTGCCGAGGTTTACCGCCATCAAGTTGATTAGTATACCTTAAATGAAAACTGATACGAATAATTATTTAGCAAAAGGTGCAATGACCAAGGCCTTTTCAAACAGTGAATACGCCAAAACGGTAGAGAAAGTGTATGCCCACTTTCAATTAACCTTTTGATAGATGTCGGTTTAAGCCCTAGCAACGGACGCTCTCAGAGTAACATAACAACGACGACCACTTACATCTCTGCCCGGTGAATCCAGCGATACATTGACAGACGAAACCCGTCATCGTGTCCTCACACCAACCGTTTTTACATGGCTCGTCTAAACAGTCTACAGTAGTCGAGATGAAAAAGAAATATATTAAAAAAACACAGAATAGTTAAGAATGTACATCCTACCCAGAATGGTTCTGGAGAGTAAAAATTGACACATAATAATAATAACATAGGATAGGAAAACAGAGCATTCTATGGAAACAAAATAAGAGAAAGAATGAGATGTAGAAAAGGGCAAACTTATTTCAAATAAAAAAAAAGTTGTTGTCACCTTTACTTCTAGACTAACCCTGAGATGATTGGGATCAAACGCAATATTGTTAATTAGCAGGAGATCAATCGTGAAAATCGAATTTTGGCCCGGGTTTTCCGGAAGGCTACCGTGAAGTTTAATGAAACCCAGTGAGTGGAACGAATTATTTTCCTCGCGCCTAATTAACTTTTTAATACCATTAAGTATAGTATTATAAGTTGTAAAGGTATTTCATTTAATTTTTTTTCTCCACTGGTTTTCGTAATAGGTTTGAGTTAAAAGTGGCTTCGTCAGAGAAGCTTTTGATCAAAGCATTATACAGAAGTACACTGTCGCTCATATAGTTGGAATATTTTTGTTTTACCCCAATTTATGGAATTATTTTAAAAAATAATTTAAAAATAATAGATCTAGATAATAGTATACATTCTCAGATTTTTTTGAATAATAATTTGACAATGTGTGTTTTGCGTGACTGCTAAAGCATGTGTAGGCTACTATGCTTGTCAACTAGGGGACCTACGCCCTTAAGTCATAAATGACAGTAATGAGGATTAATGCCCCACAAAAGGGCACTAATATAGCACATCGACACGGTTGTGATACTGGGCCTCACAGTTACGAAGCCATTGCTTTGTCACTGAACCATGACTGTACGCAGCGGGGGCTAGGGTAGGGGCAGTTTCCATAAATTGAAGAAAAAAAAACAGAAAAAGCAATAAATTTTCAATAATTTATTGCATTTTACCCCGGTCCCCAACATAAAAAAATCCTCTGGACGGCCATGCATTATGGCTCAAGGAATGGGCACACAGAAGATTTTTTTATGTTGGGAACCGGGGTAAAATGCGATAAATTATTGGTGAGACGAACTTAAACGTTGTATGAAAACATGGAGAGGGCTCAGGCTGATTAAATGATTGATTAAAATTACCTTGATCATTTGCAATAGGAAATTGCTAAATTTCGATCTTTTCATAAGGGCGTAAACGTATTTGGGGGGTCAACAATTTGAAATTCTAAAAATAAATTAACACTTAAAGAAAAACTATATTCAGCTGTTGAGCTAATTTACATGAAATGAGAGACCACTCTCAAACACACGCACACGCACACACACAATATTATCTCTCTTTCTATCTCTTAATCACTCCCTACTATATTCTCTTAATCATGCTCATTACTTTCCGTTGAATAATTTCGTTTTTGTCTAACTCCAGCGCAAATAAATTGTCACTTGCATCTATAGAATTTTGTTCTTCTCCATAATAATGTGGGTTTTTTCTTTAACAAATTCTTAGTTATTCCACTATTTACTGTGAATACCAGGGGCGGAGATCCGGGGGGGGGGGGGGAGAGACGGGGGTGGCGGGGGGACACGTCCTCCCTCAATTGAAAAAGTGAAAAAATAGTGTATAGCAAATACTGAATAATGACTGCAACACACTTTCAGGCGCTGGAGGGCCCAAGAGTGCAGCGTTTAGACTAATACAAATGCACAAAAATCTCGCTCGATCGCTACGCTCCCTCGAATAACATCGTTGTAAAAAATAATTAAAAAAAAAAAAAAAAAAAAATCGCATTTCGTCCCCCCCCCCTCCCCGGTCATGAAAAGAAATCGCCGCCCCTGGTGAATACATACCTGAAAATCTACAGACTCGTTTCCCTGGTGGTATTGCATTATTCTCGTTTCTTTGAGAACACGCAGCAGGTGACAAGGTCGGGATCAGTTTGGGTATGGTCTGTAACATACCCATCACTGGATGTTCTCTCTTAGAACATACTTCAAACATCGGTAAGGTGTAGTTGAGATGGTAGCCATCCTCACAGGGGCTTTGCTTCACAGCTCGAACTATATTTACTGTACAAAAGAGATGAATAACAAAATATACCATCTGAATAGGCTCCATTTATATACTGAATATGAGAATTTTAATTTATTGACGTCAACATGGTTATCTAGCAATTAACTAAAGTCATTTTGTCTCATTTGCGATGCACTGTTTTGTAAATAAAACGAAAATATGAAATAAACTCAAGTTTTGTAGATTAAGACAAATAATGCTTATTTTTACAATTACACGTGACTATCATGATATTACAGGAAATTGATAATAGTTTCGCTTTCGGAGATAATTGAATTGGTGTATGAAAAACCGGTGAACCTTATTTCATCAACTTCAAACACTTTTTCGCCATTGAAAGATCACTGCTATCCGTTTTCAAGATATTGAATATGATGGGAACAGTTCAGTTCAGTTTATCAATATCATCATTTCGCAGCCTGGGCTGAATTGCATGACAATTTACAATTAAAAACATCTCATATTTCTTTCACAATTGTTTCAAATAATACTAGTTAAAATACTATGTAATTAACAAAGACAATGAATTGTCACCAATACTTAGTTCACTTTCTAGTGACAATTCACAATATTAGCATTAAGTATAATTCAATATATATATATATATATATACAACAATATTTACATTAATACTATCATGTAATTTGGTTTTGCATCATTCAGTAGAGATTGGGTAAATAAGTAATTGATAAGGTATTTTAGTGCTTAATTGAAGAACTTGAAAAATAAACTTGTTGATACCTGTAAATGCTATGGTTATTACCCATGTTCATGCTTTGATAAGCGATTAGGCCCCTGAAATTATAATTATATTTGAAATATGTTCTGATTTCAAAATATATATCAATAATAAATAAATAATTAAATAGTGACACCGGTTTTGTCAAAAAGATTTTTGCGTTCATTATTCTCAACAATAAGTGAAAATGATAATATTGAGAACAAAGGATGCTCCAGAAAGTTAGGATATATCAAAACGTATTACATCTCAAAGGATTACCCCCCCCCCCTAGATACGCCACTGGGAGATGGGCTTGAGTGTTTGTTGTTTTTGTTTTTGTTGTTTTAATACAAAGAGAAGATAAAAATGTTCATATGGTGTAAATGTATCAAAGCAAACAAAAGTTATGTCCATCTATTCCTTTTTATCATTTAAGTAAAACTAGGTAAAGAATGTTTATCACTTACCTGTTGTTAAACACACAAGCATGTTAAGAAATAACACGATTCGTACCATGTCGACTTTCTAGGAAAACAAAAAAGGGAAAACAATATTTATTCGATGAAACTTTTGCAATAGAAAAAATGTTTCTGAAATATATATTTACTTAATATAGACACGGAAGGAACGATGATTTCAGCGATGGTTTGCTACTCTACGCTATACCTTAAGATTAAATAGGGGGAATTTTTTTTTGGAGGGTTTTAAATTTGGGACTTATAATCTGACATCTATTTCTGCTATGATCCGAAGAATTATACATTGATAGAAAACATTGATTTAAAGGTGAGATAGGGAGCAAAGAAGAAAATAAAGCAGATTAGAAGAAATAACATTAATAAATGCTTACAATTTGGCAAACCTGTGTGATATACTGTCACTGTCATAGGCAGTTCTGTCCGCCGGCAACTTCAAGATATTGAGTGATGTATTTCCTTTTCCCGAGTGGATGCAAGAATGGATTATTCTGTGTTTATCCTATGATACGATCGGCTGCGAAAATCAGTCAATTACCGTTTAGATCCTGATGATAATGATGCAATGGCAATCATCAACCAGGCTTGCATGGCTAATCATGCAACCCGGCCTTTCCATTCGACGTGACAAACTGCAATACAGGTGACTCGCTAATCAAACACTACCTCACCACGCACTTACACACAAAACCGCACACACCCACTTATGCGCGCCCTGCTTCCCAAATAGCTAATATTTCCCCCCACCAACATCTATTCGTTATCCTGCTTACAGAGATGAAAATGATAATACATTTTATCGAAACACAGATTGAATCGAGATTTATCATTTCCATTTTGAATTTGTGAACTGATTATACAGTTAAACTTCAAATGTGTCTCCTTAATTAATGTACATCTTTTTTTCGCAGCATAATTATGTACCCGGGGGGGGGGGGGCGGATAGCATCACCCTAAAGGTGTTTACGGGGGTCTCAATGCCCCTCAATAGCCACTCCGATTTCAATGATTGTAGAAAAAGTTTCTAATCTATATTCATGGACTAATTCCATCATTCTGATTTTAAAGAAGTTCAGTACATCCTTATTATAGTGTTATGAAACAAATATTTCTAACATTTCCTCCAAAAACTATTTCATGTAATTCATAAAATTAGAATAACTTTTCACATTTTGACTATTATCAAGGCCATGTTAGGGATGTCTATCAGTGATTTATTTAGAAATAATCAATACAATAATGTTCCATTTGTAGTTATCATTTGCTGTCATTTTTTTTCTGCGTAAGTTGAAAAGTTTCCACGTAGATGCAACGACCCTGTTCTACAATTCAATAATAAAGAGTGCCCTGCTTTTCAATATTATATGTTCATTAATAGCAATCTCTCAAAGCAGCACAACACGAAATTGGAAAGGCCACGTAAAATAGCACAGCGCATAATTGGGGTTGTCGAGTCTCATTGTACTGAGCAAATTATTGAAAAGGTCTGGGCAATCATGAAAGACAATACCCATCCAAATCACTTCATTATCTTTTGCATGTATTTGTTCCTTATTTCATCCATTTTTATAAACGTGATGTACTTCTTTCTTGTAATTATGTATTTTCTTGAATATTACTACAACGCCAGTGGAAACCAAATTTCTATGTAACTTGTTTGCAAAGACCAAATAAAATATCTTGTATCTTGTATCAACATTCATTTTGATTACCCTGCTGGCAAAAGGTTATTTGAAATGAAGACAAGTGCATATGGTCACCCATAATAAGATTGTTTTAGTTCTGGAATTATAAGATATTCCATTGCCAAGATTTATATATTGCCACTCCACTGCTATATAGTCACCGTGAGGGCATATGGCAATTACTAACACAAATGCTCTCGTAATCGCCCTAGGTCCCCATTTCTCTCCTGGATATAGAGTGGAAAATGTAGATTAATGCCTTGCCTAAGGACATAAGTACTACATAAGTGCCGTTTCGGGATCTAACCCACGACCTTTGAATTTCAAGTCGAGCTATAGTGCTTAAACAACTCGACTACGTGCGACACCTCTACAATGAACTTACACAAGTCATGCAGAATTAAGGTAATTAATATTATTTCGCCGATATAACGCCAAACATGTCGAATAATCCATCCAACCTTTCAGGTAATTGATTTATTAACCATACACAAGTTAATGGATTGTTCCGTGATTAAGTACACAGGTATACCTTTCATAATTCCATGTGAAATCAGTGAATGGTTATATCCCAGCCTACTAGCGGATTTAGTCAATGGTGTTATTTGCTCGTTTGTTTGTCTGTTTGCTGGGTTCTTTTGTGTGTGAGCGTGAGTGTTTTTGTTTTTATTTATTGCTTTACCTGTCAGAAACATTGTGCCTCGATCTGTTCACGTATGTTCATTATCATCAGAGAATGTAGTTTTACGTGTATACAAGTATATAAGTATATGTTAAGTTTGTCTCTTTTATGAGCTATGAAGAAGAAACAAAATGTGGAGCTATTCCTTGACGTTGGAATTTCTTCTAAAAAGGCATGAAGTGATTCATATGAAAAACAATTAAACATTTTCCCAATTTTTGTATTCCTACTTTCAAGTAATCTTTACATTAGCATCCTTAGGAAATGCAAACAAAATAATGGTAATTATGGTAGCCTACATGTATATATCTATCAATATATCTGGATTGGCATTTTCTCTACAAAAACTGTAGGAAAGTAAAAAATCTATTTCTAAACAGGCTCATACTAGCTGTCGGCTCAAAAATCCAGGATCTACGACCCACCTCAATAAAAACCTGCTGGAACTCTTGTATTAGTAAAAAGGAATGATCTAGAGCAAAAGAAAACTTTTTTGAAATATCGTTACAAAATACCAATTAGGAGAACCTGAAATGTTGAAACGAAATAGACATGATTTTGTGGATCCGCGCTCCACCTATCTGTTATTCCCTTTTTAAATTCCATCCCCTCTGAATGGTACTCCCATCCCATGGGGCCATGTAATTATAAGCTTGAAGACGCACTTAAACTTCCCCATTAACCACACATGAAGAACGAGAATGAAGCATCTTTGAAAAGCAGCATCGAGCCATTTGATATTTTAAACTGCTATTTTGAAATGGCAATAGGTCGAAAAGTAATTATTTGACTTTTTGATGTTATATAATACAGGCATGTTAATTGTCCCTTTCGCCTAATCTCTGTAGTTTTTGTAAGATCATCACATTTATCAAGTAATAGGTAAAGTCTCTGTAACTTTTACAATTTTTTGTTTAATGTTCATGGCCAAAACAGATCACAATTACGGCTATAGTCGAAATATAATCAAATTTGTGTGCAAAATGTTCTATAGTTGGCAATTTTTTTATGTCAGTATAATATAGGCTACTTATGAGCTGCATGATGCATGAATGTAATGCCAATCCCTATCAATAAGTAATCAACTGCTTCAATTTCATAATAATAAATAATTTAATACTCAGGTGATATACTTTATTGCAATTTCCTAATCTAATTAATATACCTTCCTGACGCCGGCAATCTGCATGCAATTACGTGATTAGAATCGACGTACGTCGACGTATCCATGCGGATTGTCATTACGAGAGAAGATTTTTGTAATCCTAAAGGCGAGGGAGAGAAAGAGAGAGAGAGAGAGAGAGAGAGAGAGAGAGCCCCCGGTACGACCCGTTCCTCCTCTCCCCCCCCCCCCCCCCCGGGGAAAAGCAATGAAAGAAGGTTCTGTTTGAGAATTATAACAGGAAGCTTTTACTCTTGCGTGTTTTTAATCAAAATTAATCCCTCAACTTCATAAAGGACAACACTATATTGAAATAGGGGGAACTTTTATTTGTCCATACCCCTTCTTCCCCACAAACACACTCACACACAACTCTGACCGCCCACACACACTCATACACAACTCTGTAGTAGTATTTAATAGACCGTGCAGAAACTAATTAAACTAATTAGCGGCCATGCAAATAAAAATGCTTGGTTGGTTTTGTCTTCCTCCTAGCGAGCCTTCATTATTGATTAAGCTTGTTCGAAATAAATCTACTCCAGCCTGAACGCGAGCCCAAGAATGTACATGTAGAACATGTACTGTATGTACTTCAGTGGCGAATCCAGGAAATTCTTACCGGGGGGGGGGGGGGGCACAAAATCACATGGGTGAAATATATGAAAAACGATGGAGAGAAGCGACAGAGCGAGGCGTCATCGGCGGGGTAGCGGAAGTATTTGCAATTTTTGAACCACATTAGGCGCATTTTCAGGCACTTCGTGGAGTAATGTCCACGAGCACTTCCTGGAAAACGAGGCTTTCTGATTGGTTAGAAGTTAGAGAAAAGTGATCTTTTTTCTCTTTCTTTCTTCTCTTATCTTTCCTTTCTTTCGTTTCTTTTTTCCTTTTCTTTCCCTCTCAGCAGCGTAATTTGACCCCATATTCTTTTCCCTTCTCATTATTCTCCTTTTCCCCCTTTGCTCTCCTCCGTCTTTCCCCCTTTCTTCCTTTTCTCTCCTCTCTCTTCCCCTTTCTTTCTTTCGCTCTCCCTTTTATCTTCTCCCTCGTTTCTTCTTCTTTCTATCTTCCCTTTTCTTTCTTTTCCCCCTCCTTTTCTCCCCCCCCTTTTTTTACGGGGGGCACGTGCTCCCTCCGCCCCCCTGAATTCGCCACTGTACATACAATCAATCGCCAACTATTCCGACACAGCTGGAGAAAATTATCTACATAATTTGAAAAGATTCAAAATCCATAAGTATTTCGAGTGAATCAATGATTTTATTTTCATTGTACTCCAATCGGTATCACTGACTGAAAAATTACCATAGATTGGGGGTTTATTTATAGGATTTAAATTTTGTTCCTAAATTTGTTATATAGTCTTTTTATAGATAATTATTTTAAAACAAGACAAAATCTGTATCATGATGGCTGAGATATCCGTAATATTACCTTCCGGCTTCCAAAAGAAAATACAAAATTCATGTTCTATACCGATATGCTTGCCTTCTCTCATTCCCTCACTCACTCTCTCTCTCTGTGTCTCCCTTGTTCTATATCTCTCTCTCTCACACATATACACACACAATACACCACATTCGCGCACACCAACAAACACACACACACACACACACTCTCTCTCTCTCCTGCCATTCTTATAAATTATCCATAAATCCGATTAATCTCTTTAGCTCTCTTTCTTCGCCAACCAGTTACTCTCCTATCTTTGTATCTCTTTCTCTCTCTCCTTCTCTCTCTCCTTCTCTCTGTCTAATCCCCTCTTGTCATCTGTCTTCTCTATTCACATATTGTAATTCAATGCCAGATATGAACGTTTCTCTATGTTTCATAAGCTTAAAGGTATTACAAAGTTTTGGGAAATTGTGAAAATTGGCTGGATAGTGATTCTTTACACTTTCGATATATTTGGATGCCCCTGTGGATGTATTATAAGCACTAGAAAATTTAGTCCCTAAAACACTCGAGAAAAATTGAATATAAAAATTTACTGGTGCTCCCGGTAAATTTTGATAAATTTCAAATAGTGCCTATGGCCATACAATGACAGCTGCGACCATGAAAATTTCATAATATGTAGTTGTGATATATAATTTCCAAACGGGAATAGCAATTGGTCAATTTTAGTCAAGAAACATTGTTTTATAGCTAAATTGATATATTGACCTTGAGAGGGAGCTATACAACATAAACAGTTTATTATTTATAATTTTATCACTTTAGACTCGATGTCAACCGCGACAACGATCGCTAAATATTGTAGGATCGCATATGCTTCCAATATGTTCATTTGAACCAAATTAATGACCCCATACCAAAACTTTGTATTACCTTTAATGAAAAGGTTGATGACTGGGAAAGATGGAGAATTTTTTTGGGTTTACTCATTCTTTTTATTCCAATGTGGAAGACAAATTATACACAAAGTAGTAAATTCACATGACAAAGGTCATTTTTTAAGAGGTCTAAATGGTTAGCAAAATTTGACTAAATCCTCATACTTGCTTATTCAGTCCCAGGTACAGCTATTGCCTTTAATCGTTTGTGATTATCAGCAATATTCAGTCAATTTCAATTGATAATTCTGAAATTCCATAATTCACAACTGGTCATATGTTAATAATAAACTATTCAGAAGAAATAAAATCTAGGCAGGAATACATGATTGGATTTACTGCATAATAAACTATTCATAAATACTTTCTAGACAGTTTCTTTCAACGAACACATTAGCATGTCCAATAGTTAACAAAATTTTAAACCATGAATGTATTCTGTTCTATAGGTTTATCCCAACAATGTTGTGTTTTTCTTTCAAAAATGACTTTTCATTTATGGTCATTTAATTTGATTTCTAAACGTGGAAGGAACAGAAGAAAAAAAAGGAAAATGAAATACACCGCCAAAAATTGAACACATGATAATATAATTTATCATTGAAAATGACACAATGTAAAATGTGTTCCGACTCTATTGTGTAGAAAGGTAACCAATAACACCAGGGCACTAAGATACTCATCCAATGTTCAAGCCTCTGTTTCCTAAAAATATCTTGGGAATATTCATCCCAGTCAATGGTCCCTTTCAACATACATGGACAGGGGCAGGTTGGTACATTATACATATATAATCAAAGCATCATAATACCAAACAGAAGAGCCTTTCCTAATGACAATTGGCACCATAACTCTGTACATAGTTTTATATTCTCTTTATTTTAATGCTTACACTGTACATTGCTGTATGCAATTCAAGCCATCATATTAAAATGTTGATTCTTCTATTTGAAAACAAAACCATATCTTTCACTAAAGAGAGCTTGTCTTGTTCATTTTTCTAGATAGTAAACAAAATGATGCATTCATTCATATAGCATATGGACAACTAATGGAATATTTATTGCTGCAGGGAAAAAGTTATGCCAACTAGGAAACCCTGTCTGAACATGGCTATTGACCGATACTCTTTTATCCCACATTGGAAAGGCATTTTTTAACTGCCTGCACCTTTCATAGATCCCATCTCTTCCAGGTTCTTTCCCACAGTCTTCTTTTCATTCCATTCTTCTCATCACATCACCATCTCCTTCATCTATCAGTACCTGTATTTTTTATCTCTATCAACATAAAAAATGTCTTCTCGCCCTGTCCTCTCCAAGCTGACCCATATATCATTATCCTTTCAGACAATGACTCTGTTCCATCATTCAGCTTTTCATAACACATTTTTGTTTACGCCAATCACAATATGATGTGGCTTCGCTCTGTTCCTACCCTTCATATTTCTTCCCCTTTATCACTTGCAGTCTGTAATCCACCTTTTCATATATTTTACTTTTATCTCTTGACCTTACACATCACTCCGCTGGGTTTCTATCATCCTGATTCCATCTTGCCATCATCCTGTCAGCTTTCAGCCTCTGCCATATTGCCATGGTTTGTCTTGGAGACAGCTAGTACAGACTATCGTTCATGAAGTCCATCTCTTCACATGTTGGACCACCAAGCCAATAGCCCTAGACCTGGTTCACTGATGGACCCCTGCAAGATAAAAACAACATTGGAGTGGAAAATTTCAAATGTGACCATTCTTAAACATATCACTGTGAAAGTACGGGTGAAGACATGATCATGGGAAAAGCAAGAAGAATATGAATCAATTATGTGAGCCTTCTCTATTGTGTAAATCCTGATGACCATTATCATAAATAAACATCAATATTCAACCAATCGACTATGGGAATTGGATGGTTCCTTTATTAAACCCAATGCTTTGGTTACACCAATGAGACCAAGACCAGACCAACAACTTACAGAACAAACAATAACAATAACTCCAATGTCCGAGAATCGGTTGGTTTGGTATGATCAAGGTATAAGGAAAAGAGAATTCACTAGTCAAGAGAATAATTGAACTCATGGTGGTTTTACGACATCTTTTTTTTCTTGCCTTGTACTTACCACCAGACTGTAAGGAGATTTCTTTGTTTCGTTCTCCTCCGCTCCCGCCTCCAAGCCATCCTCAGGACCAACAGGCGTGGTATCAGTGAAGACTTCATCTACTACTCTGAATCTAATCTCTTCGTTGATATCCATAAACATATCATGTGTGCCTTCTTCTGCTTCATACTGCCACACCCACAGCTGCTCCGTCTCATCACTGGGTCACAAGGTCACATTCAGGAAAACATCTCTCATCTCAGGATTACATCTATTACAATCTTCTTTCTTAAATTCCTCATTAAGAGAGTTTGGGATGCATTAAAGCTTATCAGTACTAGTTTATAGGTTAGACCATTAGATTAGACCACCCAAGTTGGTCACTGACAGGTAGCTAACTCATCAACTCAGCTCTCAATTAAAATAAGAAAAATAAGATAACGGGGAGGAAGCATGTAGCTACAAGTAGTACAGTGGGGCTTTAAGACATTAATCACAATAAAATGTAAAATAAATGTACAATTGATAGTCCATTTAATAAAATGCTTGATGGAACCCTCTAATATGCTATTGATCCATTCTATACAGGAACCGACTGGCTCCTGTATTAGCACTAATGGGAATACAAGAATTCAGTAGCCAAGCTGTAGGTCACATCAGAACAGCAACTAAACCTATATTACAGAACTGTTAGGAATATATCTCACTTGCCAAAGGTCTACATAACAAGAAAATCATGATTTTAGTTTTTTCACTGATGTGAATATTAAAACTTGATAAGTGTAATGATATAAATTGTATAATGCATTTTCTGAAGCACCATCACTCAGGAGTTACAACATTAATGAATAACAAATATAATAAACTACTATAATTACTCGAAGTTGAAAAGTGACATATAGTAGACATTTAAAATGGGTAAGGAACACAAACACTTCTCACCTTGATAATTGAAAATCACAATAATCAATGTTTTAAAAATAATTGAAAAGCATAAAACTTTACAGTATTACTCTCAGAATAAACGTATTTATTAATTGTAAGTTTTTTTTTAATGGAAAGGATACAATTTACAGGGTTGCTGGAGCGCTTCTGGTGGAACTACAATGTCATCAAAGAAACCTAAAGATACTGAAGAGAGAAACACAAATAAGCAATAAAAGTTAACATTGAATTAAAACAAAAATATCCATCCTATCATGATTAATTGAAACAAACAGTACACAAAATAAATAACATTCAGAATGCCACAATGATCTACAAAGGGATGCTCATCCTGTGCTCATCATTAGCAATATTTGCAATAAAAAATTTACAGTTTTCATAAATTAAACAGAAGAATGTCAGTGATTTGAATCATTTGATTTCATCGACTTAAAAGATTACATAACAGCTAAACTACAGCATTATCTATGCTTTTCAGACTAGTGATGTAAACATGCAGCTTGTAAAATACCCTTTTTCATCAGAATCTTATGTGACATGAGAAAGTTTTTCTTTATAGTTTTTATCAAGTTCTGTGAAATATGGTCCTACTGCATTATTTCCCTTATCTTTATCTGCTATCCTCACTCCGTCCTCACTCAAGCTGTCTAAGCTAGTTTACAAGTATAGTTTCTGGCCATAGAACCATGGAATGAAAATTAATTTGTTTCTATTCTACAACTCTTCTTCAATGCCTTATTATTAAGATTGAGAATGGGTCAGACTCACTATGCACACCATCACGGCTACAGCTTCTGATTCGTCCAATTAGAATCTCATCCATGAAGGGATGAAAGACAACAAACCTAAAGTGTACTTTAGTATGAGATGCACCATCACCAGGGAAGATATGAGAGTCTTCCATCTTCACTATGTCATGAAGAGCGATGCAGAGTCCAACATTCGGTACAACCTTAGAAAATAAAGGAATCATTTTTTAAAACTTAAATAAACTGATTTTTTTTTTTAGAATATGAGACATTCAGCCTAACAGCTTGCCCTGTTTGTTTTCACAAAGACTACACAAACGAATGCACATCATGATAAATATCAACAAGATTAGAACAAAGTTTTTATACAATAAATTCTCAGAGTGTCATTTGGGGGATAATTATATTCTGAAGTTAACATCTACTTCAAGGCAGTGGTAAAGTAAGTGTTCACAGTAAATTCCTGAAAAGACTTTTAAAAATGGCAGCGAAAAGAGATTGATAAAGATCGAGGAAATAAATGGTTTACTTTGTTTGCCAGTTTCTTGTTGAGTTCTTCAGTGATAGCATCGATTGGTTTGGCATTGAACAACCATGGCTCAATGCGTACTGTGTCCACCATCTCAGCCAGAACAAACATTGTCTCTCCAGACTATATAACCTTTACCTAAAAAACAAGGAAAGCAATGGAAAAATCTTATGACAATGTAACTCCAGGAAGCTCCGACGCCGATGCCGAAGGCGTGCGTCTGATAATGGGAAGTATGCTTTAATGTTGCTACAACAGTAACTCCTATTTTGTCCGAGACTTTTGTCAAGTAGCCTATATAAAATTGGGAGACAGTTTCCCATTGGCCATTTTGGCTACCAACTTCTTAGGTACATTTGGTGCAACTGCAAAGGGATAACCTTGCCTCAAAATAAAAATATGATGAGCAGATTCCTCATTAAAAATTAAAATTACCCATCTTGCCCCGTCTACCAATACATGTCTACTTTAAAAATACTCTGTCTAAATTTGTTATGATCCACACACAAAATAAACAGGCCCAGAGAGGCAAATATTGACTTGTTGTTGACGTTGATTCTTTTGTAAACAAAGTTTCCAATATGGGAGATCTGAAAGAGTCTCCCGATCCGAATGGGATGCGCCTCTACTGCTGTACATCCACGCGACGTCCACACAGCTGCACAGAACACTAAATAATCACATAACACAGATCTAGGTATGTGGAACAATGTTATAACTAGTATTAAGCCTGCATGTTTATTACTCCAGCAGGAATACACGAAAATCATTCTTTTCTGATCAGGCTACGTAAACTTTTCCTTCTTCTTCATTGATTAACGAATCATTCGAGCAAAACACTTACATAAACAAGGCAAAACAGAGAGGAAATCACAAGCAAAATACCTTGACCAAATGGCACTGCACTTCGTGAGTTCGTTAACGTTCAGCAGATGCAAGTCAATATGGCAGATGGCTGAGGAGAACATTGATTGATAACTGAGAATTAGTCTGGAATTCACCGCTTTTGGAATGTCATGATGGCTGATTTTCACACCGTGTTGAAAGACTTGGTTCTTCTTGTTCGACAGAATACAATCTTTTCAACAATTTTTGGTGTACTTTTGACAATCAGCATTATATTCTTCAGGTAAAGTTCTTGTCAATAGCAGCTAGAAACGCAACGGAGCTCCGCCGGCTGCCACCCCTTCCGGCCCCCGCCCCCTTTGCCTGCTTGCTGCCTGGCCTGGATGCGCGGGCTAGGACTAGGTGATAATTTTAAATATGATTTTGATATCACTTATCAATATCATAATTTACATTATCACCCTGGCCTTAAGGCTACTTAAGCAAGGTGGAGCTTTGTTGAGTTGAGGTAGCTGTTAAAAAGTAATTTAGTAATCAGTGTTTATCATGTTGTTGAACTTGATGCTCTTGAATAATGTTTGTTTACAGTTAGTCTATTTTTTGCTTCAGTTTGGTTTGTTTTTTGGTTGGTTCTTGGTGTTTTTTTAAAAATAAATAACATTTATATTTTATTTAGTTATGTGTCTGAGCTGAGTGAATGTGTAGCAGAGTGTTAAGAATGTTGTGAATGTTGTGAATGTTGTGGGACGTAGGACGTATCCATGCATGCCCATGACTGATGTCATGATGATGTTGCTTACTATATGAATTAAACTATAGTTTAATTCATTTAACTCAAGGGGCAGGGAACTAGATCAGCTTCCAGCTGCGACCACCTTGTCGAATCAAGCTCCCTTGACTCCCTGAGATACTTTTTTTAAAATTAAAAGTGATTCTAGAAATACACACTAAAAGTTGGGCCTCTATTTATTTTAATCATCTCATGAAAGTAAAACGCCCAAAGTTAAACAGATTTAACCATTTTCTGTTTGTAAAAACAATAATGCATCAGACATGAATATTTTCAGTTGCATGAATATACATGTAAGGCTATGTTCAAAAGTATAGGCTTTTCTTGTGGAAGTATTATGATTCATTGTTTAGAAGAACCCCAGTGTGCTTTCCTGAGCTAAATTGCCCGGTACGCTTTGCTCTAAACTACTAAAGAATATCTTTCACTGATTTAACAAGTGTACTTTAGCTGATCATGGCTGGGATATCCATGTTCATTCACTGAGAAGGGGAGAATGTCAAGTTTACCCAAAATGAACTCTTTCTACCCTACATGTAGGTACCTGCCTGTATTACTGATAGTATGGTCAGGCCTGGCTGGGGTGTCCATGTTCCATGTCCTCTTCAAGAGAGTATCGAGTTTACCCAATTTTTTTCCAACCTTTCTACCCTAGGTACCTGCCTGTATTACTGATAGTATGGTCAGGCCTGGCTGGGGTGTCCATGTTCCATGTCCTCTTCAAGAGAGTGTCCAGTTTACCCAATCTCTTTGGAATGTTTGAGAGGGATAAGCTAGCTGGAGTCAGGAAGTCCACCCTAAAGGAAGCTTATCATGGAAGATGCCCGGTGTGTGGCAATGATAACTGTAACAGACACAGGTAAATCAACATTTAAAAAATAATCCATCATATACTGTCAGGAAATACAAGTCATTTTAGAAGGAAACTTACTTGTTATCCACATATTTCCAAAAAATCAATCTTTGAAGTTCTGTTTTTTAAATATTTTTTAATCTGAGATTTTCATTCCATTTTCAGTTCTGAACATGATATCTGACATGTTTCCTCACATTTATGAAGGACTGTTGGACAGTCTGCTGATGTTAAACTGGAGATATAATTTCTTTCCATAAGCACTTGAAGGTGAATAAATATAATTAAAACTGATGTTATATGAGAAGGGGGGATGTTCTGTATTTTTTAAACATTTAGGTACAACTAGTATACTATTGCCAGGCCTAAATTCAGTTTATCCTTTATTTTTGAAACTTACATAGAGGGGAGCTTTACCATACAAACTACCAGCCATGGATTGATCTGAAGATTCCAAAGAGAGTAGATGATGCCTTGTCAGAGGTAAGACTAACCTTTCATCTAATCTAATTTAATCAGGTTTCTTTCCCTCTGGTAATATGCAGGGCCCATTGAAAGAATAATTATGTTGAAAGTAATCGTGTTCAAAGTTTAACAAAGAACCTAACACACCATCAAAGGAAACATTTCTGTTTTAGCGTATGAATATTGCAAGCGATATATGTGGCAGCATAGACAGCAAAATTCTGTAATCCATTCTTGAAACTAATTATTCAGTAGAATGTGCTGAAATTGATTTGAAATGAACTAAATGCAAAAGAGAGCAGTTCTTTAAAAGATGAATGTTTTACCTTTATGATGGCTTAGAATTTGCACTGAAATCCTTTTTCCTATTCAATCTTACAATGCTCTTCATTCTCTATCCTTTTCAATTTGTTCCTGTCTTGTAGTTCTTTGAGCTGGTGTTGAAAGAGTATGTGTATTCTTGGTACAGGTGAGTTAGATTTCATTACTCAGCTGATCCTCAAAACACTTATTTCCAAGACCAGGGGAGTGTTTTACAAAGACTAAGATCGACTTTAAGCCGGACCTAACTATGGCAGGCTGTTCATGCCACTAGTTGCTCTCACCATTGATCTCTCAATTATGATTTTTAGATCATATTTTTTCCTACAATAATAAACTGTCAACAAATGTAAATTCTGTAGATTTATGACACCGATTGGTACGTCCTTTGAGAAACCAATGCCAGTAAATGATGAGAGAAAATAGTGGCATGAACGGTCTGCCATAGTTAAGTCCAACTTAAGGTTGATCTTAGTCTTTGTGAAACACTCTCCAGAATGAATACTGCATTACATGTAGCAAATGTTGGTTCATCAGTAAAATTTTATTTGAATGACTTCCATCTATGAGATAACACATGACTCTGTACATGTACATGTAGATGTTTATATAATAAGCAATATCCCCAGAGAGAGTTTAACATCTCGCCCACCAGGCCTATTTATTTCCTATGGGGAGTGATGAGAGTAGCTTTACAAAAGGTTTACAGGTAGAATTAACCCTATGACACTGTGCTTCCCTGTGTATTGAACACATATTAATATGGGTGATTGTTGTCATTTTGCAGTGAATCTATGAGCAAGGACGAGGAGTTTGTGAAAGAGCTTAGAACCTCTCTCAGGTACACCATTTCAGTCATACTCAGGAGACTCAAACAGGTATGTAGGGTCTGTTTTCAACCGTGCATAGATTCTGCATCTCTAAATTTCTAGAGACAGTCAAACCTGTCTTTTAAAGCCCAACCTGTCTTTTAAAGCCCCACTGCACTACTTATAACTCCTTGTGCCCTGTACATAGCGAACAATGCCTAATCGGTGACCATTGGTCCCCATGATCCCCTTTTTCTTATGTTAATTAAGAGCTTATTTGACCTGTCAGTGACCATGCAGGGAGGTCTAATCCTTCCTGGCCGAACTAGTGCAGTGGGCCTTTAAGGCCACCCAAGGGAAACACAATATGTGGCCACTGTAGACAGAGAGATAGTTGAGACAAGTTCTTCACCACACATTTTCTTATATAGGAAGCCAATATGGGCGACCACTTTAGACAGGTGGCCATTATAGAGAGGTGGCCACTATGAGACAGGTTTGACTGTATTTTAGTAACCCTGTCCATACTACTGTGAGTGGTAAATCCTGACTAAGAATATGAGCATTGAAGAATGTACTTGGACTAAAGCCCCGTCTTAATAGAACTTTTTCGATATTTACACAAGCGACATGTGGATGAGAAACAGTTGGGGCCTGATCGTTAAACACTGGTTGAGCTTATGACAGGCTCATGGACCCCATCTTAACCAGCCATCCGCAAAATCCTCACCAGGGTAGGTTACCATAACAACCGCACCTCCCTCATCGCGATCAGCTGGCGCGCGCTGTGTACATGTATACCTCAAAGATATAAAGGACAACCCTTTTAATATTCTTTCAATATTATGATATTTTATGTCTATGTTTTTTTATTTTCTTCCTATGTGCTGTTAATGTTAAGCTTATGTTTTTTCTAAATTGGTTTAATTACAATTAAATATTTCATTCTTTAGATTGACCTACCAACCGTCATCATTCACAAACTGATCAAAGCTGGTCTGAGCCATCTTGATGTTTACCTTAGAGCAAAGAGAAAAGGTAAGTCCAGATTGATCAGATCAGAGTGTTAGCCACACCCCTGTAATTTTTCAATTTCCACAACCACTGTGCTAGAGGCATAATGTTTTATAGTTGTCCACTTGTCCTCGCTCTGTTAAGCGTACTACATCCTTCAATACGATATTTGCTTCTAATAGTGTGAACCAATACAATATTCGTGATTGAAGGTTTTTGGAAAAACAATGTGGTAACCTTACCAAACAGTATTCATGATCAAAATTCTTCAATCGTGATAATTCACTAGACCTTAAAAATCTACAGAGAACATCCAGTACCAATGTCTAAAAGCCAGTGTTTGAAATCATCATGCTTTACTCTGTTGAATGTTTTACAGCAAGATGGGGTGAAGACATTCAGGACCTGACCATAAAGCAGTATGGTAATCATCTTCATGTAGCAGTCAGGAATAGACATGCTGAGCTGGAGTATATCAGGAACCTGTGTGAGCTTCTCTTTCCATTCATCGTCTCTAATGAACCACAGGATAGCAAGTAAGCAGTGACTTTGTATTGTTTTATATTTTGTGATCCATGATAATGAATGATCCTTTAATTGTAATGTATCAGCTATTCTATCTCTTAGTTTGTTATCATTTTAACAAGAGATAGTGCAAGTCTGCAAGTTATACAAGACAGGGGGGAAACAAGAAGAAGGTACAAGTACATGTATAGGAAAATGAGATTGGGAAAACTGTCAAGATATGGGTCATTTGGTTGATATATGACCCATATATCGACATCAAGTCATGAGATAAGTCATGAGATATATAAGTCATGAGATATAGGGATGAAATGACCACTTTTTCCTGAAAGTGGATTTTGACAATTAAATATGACATTTTGAATAAGATTTAAACATTTTGAAAATTTGGATCCCATGTCACAGTTTGGCTCCCTAATAAATGGAAATACCCATATACTTAATTTCATTGCTTCATGTAAGATTTTACGAGAAAGAAGAATTATCACTTTTGTGCATTTTGGAGCTGTAATGAAAACGAGACTTCTTTCAACCCAAAATATGATCTGTTGCATTAATGTAGAGGATTATGAAAAATACTATATTGTCACTACATACATGTAGTATTATGTAAACTGTTGATTGATCATTCAAGTTCATACATACCACTGAAATAGTCTAGATGAGATGATTTATAAAGGATCAAATATTAACGTGGCAATACTAATAATATCTTCATATATTTGTTTGTACGTAGATGTACGATATCATTCCTGAGGGAGTTACTATCCAGGTCTCTCATCATGCCTGCTATGGATGTACTTGCAAACCCAGTGAGTGCTTGTTTTATACCTACACATCATCTCTAAACACTATAAGGAAAGTTTCATTTCAGTTCTTGGTTTGCAGCAATGTAGAAAAAGAAACCCTTGGCGACCTGACACCCTTCACACATTTTGGTTTAAATATATATCCTAATTGTTATTTTAAAGTGATATCATGTTTCCCAGTTTACATATATTTGCCTACTTTGTGAATGTGCTCCTTTTTGTTCAAAATTGTGCAATTCAACAGTCATGTACAAAGTGTCTTGTGCATCAAAAGTAATGTGGCTACATAGTAAAAAGGTTGGTAGAAGAACTTAAAAAGAAGAACAGCCCCATTGCCATAAATGTAAAATAACAATCTTCACATGTATGTTGTGTATGTTCGCCAATCACTCTAATTTCTTGCATTCACGTTTTACAGGATGTTGTCAACAAGATTTTAGAAGTCTTCTTCGATGAGGAACCTGTAAGTACTAGATTTTTCATTTTCATTATGCAATGTATACATTCAAATATGAACACACAATATACTGATAGTAGGGTTAGAGATTTAAATCTGTAATGAAATTCAATCTTGATTATGTTTCATTGGAAACAATCATTAATCAAAGTCACCAATCGTGTAGATGAGATGAAATGAGTGGATATGTACCTGTGGTCTCTACTTTATTGTATAAAGGACATAATTGGGAGATGTGAATCTTCTTAGTGATCACCCTTCAATTCTTCCTGTGTTTGGTAACCCTGCTTTGAATCAACCTTGCATCTTTTGTAGGGTGAGAGTCTCTCAGACTTTAATTTTGAGATAATTTGACAGAACCATCTCTGAAAACTCAGCTCTGTTAATTACAACACATGCCTCAGCCTCTTACATGCATTGCAAGTCACAATCAGGCCATGATGAGGTCTATTTCCACCTGATTTTTACCAACATGCATGAACTTATATCTCACATACTAAAATATTTAATACTACAAGTACCATCTTTCTTTCAGATGGCCAAATCTACTGACCCACCAACAGAACCAGTGAACATCTTGAAAGCATTTTGTGAGGCTAGACCTTGTCATGCTGATAATGTAAGTCAACACTTTGCTATCAACATGGTTCATATACACTGTATATTATGATCTGATATACTTGTTCCAGGCTTAGTTATCTAGTTATGTTTACATATACACTGTATATGTTAGGTATAGAATAGTGAATGACGTCATCAAAAATCTATTTTTTTTTAATTTCTCAATTTGTTCTTCATTTTCTGAAAGAGCATAAAAATAATGTCCAAATGTCGAAAAAACCAATTGAATAGGTCAAGTATTGGCTGAGATATGACCATCTGAATAAATATATTTCCTATGGGAACTCAGTGTTATATTGCTCTGGTTCATAACAAGAGCAAAAGCAATATAAGTTCCTATAGGATTTTGTTTTATTCAGATGATCATATCTCGGCTAATTCTGAACATATTCAATTGGCTTTTAACATTTGGACACTATTTTTGATGCTCTTTCGGAAAATAAAGAAAAGATTGAGAAATTCCCAAAAAATAGATTTGTATGATGTCACAGCCTCAGTACTCTATTTGGTTAGGTACATGTATAGTGTTATATTCTTGAGTTTGTCATCATGAGAAGCACCTCTAGCTATCTAGCTATCCGAGCTGAGGGTCCCGTTTCCCAAAGCCTTTTTTCAATGACAAATGACAAAAATCAGTGACAAATCTGCTGATAACCAATCAGAAGCAAGGATTTCAGTAGCTTATAACAAAAACTTTCATTTGTCACTGATGACAAGTTTTGTGAAATGCCCCCCTGAGGTTGATTGCAGCATCTGTCCACACATCTCTTTTTTCTGCCATCCTAGGACACTCTTGCTGTGTCATTCCACTCCATATGTTAATGTTTCCTTCCAAGTCAGTTCTTTGTTTCACTTTTAGTCTGGTACATGTACGTGTACCTTTTACTTCCAATATACCTCTAGCTATTTGATTCATATTGATTTTGAGTACTTGATGTATCACGTTTTAATCTTTACATCATTAAATACATGTTAAAGCCCATCTGTACTAGACTACAGGAGGGATTAGACCCCCCTGCAAGGTCACTTACAGGTGGTTAAGTCATCAAATCAGCTCTTACTTAACATAAGGAAAAAGAGGATCCTGGGGGACCAATGGTCATCGATTAGGCATTGTTTGCTATATAGAGAGCGCAAGTAGCTATAAGTAGTGCAGTGTGGCTTTCAACGGTGCAAGCTTGGCCAAAATAGCAAGTCATGTATTACCTTTTCATTTTCTGTTTAATTTCTTTCTTTCTTTCGTTCTTTGTCTAGGCCCTTCACTATGAGACGTCTGAGATCCTGAGTAACAGCACTCTTCTCTTCCCATTTCTTCAATTCATGCGTCGAGAGGGCGCTCTCAACCTTCTTCAGTTCTGCTTGACCGTTGGTAATGACCAGGGACCTGTTTCACAAAGATCCTAAGTTGAGCTTATCTCTAAGTTGGACTTAAAAATTATGGGGAGCCATTTGTAGCCTTAAAATTAAATGTTTCCCAAAGCAAAAATTGGAAGAATTTTAGACTTTTCATAAATTCCACATCAAGAACATGAAATCTTCCATGATAATAGAAAATATGAATGATATGAATCAACATTTTTTTTTTTTAACATAACTTTTACAAAATATTTTCATAGATGCTATTAAACGGCTTTCCATACCGGTGAAACACCCCCTGATGTTATGATCCAATGCATCTCATGCTTCCTTAGAATAATTGTTAACCCTGCTTTTAAAAGTGTTATGAACAAAGTAGCCTCCATCAGTGCATTGTTTTATCTGGCCATAAACAAAATCCATGTTGTGTATTTAAGGTTCTTCTGCCATGGATTCATCTGTTCTATGTGGTCATACAGAGCAGTGGTTCATATCCTTTTTGGGCCCCAACCCCAACTGACACTTCCTGTTGGTAATGTTGCTCCCAATGTGCAATTGTCCCTAGATTCTAATGGACTTTGTTGCACTTTTGATCCATTCATCACTTCTATGAAAAGAAACACACTTCCCCTATTGGGGTTAGAAACCTCAGATTTGGAATATAAATCAGAGTACACATATAATTGAGATGATAAAGAAATTAAATTGTTTAATTTTAGAAACTTAGTGCAGTGAACAGAAATATATTGATTAGAGTCATGTCATATTCCATTTCTGTATCTTCATATTGGAAGTCAATCGTTTAAAAAAAACTCATACCAGGATTGCATTATCCTTGCCTATTTATGACACAGAGGATTTCAACCGCCGGAGCCTTGTTCCTGACATGACAGACCAACAGAAACGAGACCTCCATCTAGAAGCGAAGGAGCTCTACAACCTCTACTTTGCTCCAGATGCCATGGATAGAATCAACTTTGAAGAAGTTGTCGTCAAAGCATTCCAAGATAGTAAGAGATTTAAAGGCAAACCCTTGAAGCATTCTTGGGGAATATAAGTATTCTTATTTTTCAATAATTTAATTATGGTTAATTTTTTGTTTTGTTGATGTTAATTATATTGATTTCGGTATTGAAACCAAGACTTACATTACTTTGTTCTAAGATCATTGCCATGTTTTTAAAATTGTGTCTTTATTAATGATTGGCAGGAATATCAGTATTGCAAACAATATCAGGAACATCTTGAAAAATGTTTGAGACAATTTAACTTTCTGATAGCTGATATTTGTATTGCTTGATAACTAGGAAATCCAAGCTATTAGATTGGTGCTAGCTATTCTTCTTCCAACACTATGTGAACCTGGCAGGAATTAATTCTTTGAAATGCTAGAGCGTCGAAATGGCAGCACAGCTTTAGGCTGGGGTAATAATCTCCAAGTTTGGAAACGCTTAGTGATTGTAATAAGTGCTATATAAAAACTGAGTATTATTATTATTATTATCAGCCGCTGATGTTTTGTTGTCTTTTCAGTTGTTACAGGGCCTCCTGAAGGAGTGATTCGCATGAGAAAGACTCTTACCCTCTTTGAGTAAGTATACCTCTCCATTCTTCTATTACATGATCACATGCTATTAGTTCTGACTTTTGCATTGTTTATTTTCAACAGCAACATAAAGTGAATAGTAATTACATTGTATCAAACATTTGATAGGTTTTCAATTCTATTCCAAATTAATCTGTGACAGTGAATAGATTGCTAGATATATTTAAAGCCCCTCTGCACTACTTGTAGCTACTTTCGCCCTCTATACAGCCAACAATGCCTAAGCGGTACCTGTTGATCCCCCACGATGCCCTTTTTCTTATATTAATTGAGAGCTGATTTGATGAGATAATAACTCCAATGAGTTGGTTCTGAACAATAGACATGACATGATCTTAAGTTGAAGCTGATGTTTTCTTCTCTAAAAATAGAAGGGAGTGACAATGTAGATTAAAACCCAATGAACATACATCATTATATACGTAGAATTGGTTATGCTACCATCTGCATGAACCCATTGTTTTATAAAAATGTGATGACTGTTTGTTTATTTGACAGAGCTTATGAATATGTGTTCAGTTTGCTGGAGAGTACATACTGCCCTCTATTCCATCATTCGGAAGAGGTAAGAAAGAATTCCATGTCGATACTATCCTCTATTTAAGTCTGATACATGTGCAACAGAAATGAATGAATCACCTAGCGCTGTATTGTATCCCCTTAAGATTTTGGAATAATGATTTTATATGGCTTTGCTGTCATGAAAATCATTTGAAGCAAAGTTACGACATTACTTGAGAATTGCCATTTTCAGGACTCAGTCTCGCGATGATCAAGAAAGTAAAGAAAACAAAAACTACACAATCCAGACTCGCAATGGGTATATTGTAATGTAATAATAATGATAATACATGTACCGGTAGTACAATAAAGCTTTACTGAAATAGTACATGTATTTTACAAAGAATTACTCAAAGGTAATATTTGAGTGAATGTCATACACATTCAGATATGAGATCAGACTCTTTAAAGCCCCACTGTCCTACTTGTAGCTACTTGCTCCCTCTATATAGAAAACAGTGCCTAAGCCGTGACCATTGGTCCCCCATGATCCTCTTTTTCTTATGTTAATTAAGAGCTGAGTTGATGAGATAACCACCTGTCTGTGATCTTACTGGGTGGTCTAATCCCTTCTGGCCAAACTAGTACAGACGGGCTTTAATAGATGTTTATAAGTTCATTAGAAAGACATTCTTGGACCATCTAAATGTACACCAAAAAATCATATAAACACAATCCATTATCCTACATCCTACGAGTACATGTATGTAATGTCCTGCAAACTGAACTGTCTTTCATAATGTGTTTCTTTCTTAGTACTACACCTTGTTATGTGGAAAGAGAAGACTTGCATTGGCCAGAGCAGGAAGCAGGTAAACACTCTATGACATTTCAAACTATCACTCAATGTCTGGTGTTAAATCAAGAATTATAGTACTAATGCCTTCAATACTTTTTGTAAAAATGATATTTCTAAATAATGATCTAGATAATCATTTGAATTATGTACTAACAGTTTTAATGTCTTTAAAGTGCTCATTATCAATACACAGGCTTTATCCATGCAGCCATATATACTGCTGACACTGATACTAACATATTTATCTAAAAAGTGCACTTTTATATATGGAAGCCCAAGCACTCTAGTAATCGATTCTCACCAAGCAGCCATTCAGTACACCTGGGTCAAGATAGGCAGCTTTAGATAAAATGCCTTGTCCTCTTCGACAACGGTCAAGAAAGTAAACCACTCTTCCACACTGCCTCGATCCAGTCTACCAATCTTGATATGACTCCAAGAACAATCACTGATGGAAAAGACAGAACCTGAATCACAATTAGAACCTGAATTCACAGTTTATTATCATAAACCTGAGCTGATGAGTGCAAAGCTGTATACAAACTGCATACAATGAAAGTAACCATTCAAAGCTGTCTGGGTGATCTACCTTTTTCTTAATGTTTCAGCCCCACCCCACCAAATCAACAAGATATGTTATCAACGTATGCTTTAAAATGAGCACATGTCCTGTTTGTTACTACTAATGTGACCTTATTAAAATCTGTATTAATTGTTCATTATCAATCATTTCCTATATAATGATTAACATCATAACAAGAAAATAATTAATGCTAATATGCATGATGCACTTAACAGTTGTAATTATCTACTTTTGTATCTTAATATTCATTTAATAAAGTTTACTAATTCTACTCACATTTGTGCACAGTATTTATGGGATCTAATCAAAGATTGCTTTCTCCTAATATCTAATTACAGGCAATATGCAATACTAGACCTAAAGTCTCTTTAACAAATATTCACTTTTTGCGTTGTTTTCCTTTTATTATTGCTTCACTGGATCTCCTTCCTTCGCATTACTATACCTCTCACTCCATCATTGCAATTGTTCAATTACTTTCTTCTTTTCTCTTGTCTGTTTTATTTCCCCCCTTTCCACACCATATCGAATCATGACTTTTTAAAATATCCTCATTGCATCTGTGTCTCTTTGTTTCTCTCTACATGTCATGTTCTTGAATCTCTGATTCACCAAACTTTGCCATATTGTATTTCCTCCTTTGTTTGTTACTCTTATGCTGCCTAACTCACTTGATCGGACGATTACTCATCCCTCTCTATCTTCCCTTATTATATTTTTACTTATTTATCCCATCCTTACTGTGCTGAAAATATACTTGTAACCACAATATTATATCCATGTATTTCCTCCCTAAAGTTGCTCTACTCCCGAACCCCTTCCCTCCCCAATAACCCCCATCCCTCCGCCCCTCACAGTCCTGCAACGGTCAGTATTCATGCTCTTCTACTAATATTGCATGTTGCAGAATTAGTGTTGTATATAATCCCTGGGCCACATCTTCATGTAAAGCATAGCCATGAGGGGCACATAGGGCTGTAGGGACATTCAGATGATCGCTTTATAGAGGTTATTAGAGCCACCACAAAGCTGCCGTAGGTGGTTAGATATCCTCTACTTCAGTTCCTAATAAAGAAATTGGGGGTAAGGCCTTTTTCCCCTGGAAATGCATTGAGTGATATTTTACTTGATTTTGACTCAATTTTACATATTCACTTAGCCCTCATGGATAGCCTCATGATAGTTCATTTGACATTAAATCAGCTGGACAGGGTTGCAATGTTCTATCCCCTGTGGCTCCATGTGACCTTGTGGCTAGATTTTACATGAGAATGCGATCCCAATGTAAGGTACATACATGTAGTTCCCATGTCATCCATATTGGAATATTACATGAGCATATTCTATGACTTTTGTATTCTGTAAGCCTAAGTTTTTAGAACATGAATTAAACAGTTACATGTTCTAGTATTCATATTATATTTGATTTAGTCGTGATCCAGCTTGAAAGACTGCGTTCCTTTTAACCCAAAGTCTTGTATTGAATGTGTTTGAAAGTACCAGTAGTTTTGTATGTATTGCGATTGATGAGGTTGGTACAGTACAAGAGCAAGTTTTCAGTGTATAGTTAAGAATTTATTGTATACAGCGCAGCCTCATAGTGATGCAGTATAATATTTCTCATTATATTATAATAAAAGAATGTAGATTCATATGGTCTGTGCATCCTTTTTTTTTGCTACCAAATGAATTGAAAGTAAATAGAATAGAATATGTAGACTACATGTTGTTTTAAAAAAATAGCCTGAACAGATTAATATTATAGATTTAAAAAGCACAAGTTTGAAGAGGAATGGCTTTTTAAAATAATCCCAAGTTGGCCTATTTTTAACCACTATATATACTGGTACAGCATTATCCCTGTTTTTTGTTTGTTTGTTTTTTGGTGTCTGTTTATGTTTTTCACAATTTGGGATTTGGAAATAGTTTGGTTTTTGGTTTCACTTCATTTATTTTATTATTCCTATGATAGTTTAAGAATAAATATCTTTAAAAAACAGTGAATATACATAGTATATTGTAGGCTTAGTAGTATGTCTTTGTAAAACTTTACATATTATTTTGATTTTCATATATTGCCAAAGTTATAATGGTAAAACAACAGAATAATTGTTACTCTACTGCATTAGCTACCCAATGAAGTTTTACTGCAAATTTTAATAATGCTTTCATATCAGAAATCATTATCTTAGAAATACTATAGTTACATGTACATGGGTTTGAAAGTTTCATATCATATACAAAACCTTTGATTCGTGGTGTATCAGTTGAAAGACTAAAACTAAGGCCCAAATTCACAAAGGAGGTTTAAATTTAACCCATGGTTTAAACTTTCATTAATATAGCCCATGGTTTAGAATTAGGGCAAAATAAGTGCAACACAGTCAAGAGGTCCAATATTAGACGCGCGCAAGGCAAGGATACGCTTATTTTGCGCTAATTTTTAAACCATGGGTTTAAATGAAGGTTTAAACCATGGGTTAAATGTAAACCTCCTGTGTGAATTCGTGCCTAAGGGTTCACAGACAAAATCAAAAGACTGTCATTGTATTGATCCCAGCACTTTTCATAGGGGAACATGAGGAAATGCATGAGGAATGGCATGAGGAAGAAGAGATTACAAATTAAGGTAGTTTTGATAGTGTGCAACATGGAGCCTGACTTCATTTTGATGGTGTTCCTCAAAAGTTTAAAGGTAAAGACCAGCATTGGAAACGCCCCAATTTCAAAAAATGAAATGGAAGCTCTTATATACCAATCATGTGAAAGAATATGTTTTGACTAATACATGATGATAAAAAATTTGCCGGGAAACCGCTTACTAATTTATATATTTGGTAAATAAGTTTATCTATTGGACTGTGCGTAGTCCCGTATACATCTTTCTGTGTACAGTGCTTGTAACTTTACAAAGACTGGGCCAAATTGCTTATCCTCTTGATGATTCCAGAACCTTGCAGTACACACCAATACTTATATGCTAGATGATCAACCTTTCCTGATCGATTCCACAACGTTTCTTTCACAATGCAATCGCATGACCATAACTGGTCTTTATCTTTAAAGGCCATAACTGGTCTTTATCTTTAAAGGCCATAACTGGTCTTTATCTTTAAAGGCAAGGCTAAACATTGTTTGCTATGCTTATGCAGGGACCTGGTCAGAAGGCCCCCGCCCCTATCCACGATTGTAATTGAGTAGTAAATAGAAGTGTTAGGCTGACGCATTGGAAAATGTACTGTGCACATTTAGTTTTTAGATTGATGGATAAATATGTTGTCATCCGTCAATATGTATTTTAAGTTATGTCACATGAAATGATGTACGATATGTTTTGTGAGAGTACGGTCAGTCTGAATGGATGTGGTGTTTATCATCTGTGAATCTGTGATAGTGCCGCATCAATAGTTATCTGGTTGCATTATCGTAGAAAGATTAATATTTCCTATAGTATATACAATGTGCATGTGTAAATGTATGAAGTTTCAAGCCTGAACATGAAGAGGCCCTTTTGATTTAGTCTTATGAATTCTTAACTTCAAATAAGAGTTAATAACAATATGTATAATCCCTAGCATGAAATACTCCTGCAAAGTTATAGTTTTATCATACAATAATTTCCAGCTTGAATGTATTGTGTACCATAAAAGTTGTACTTGTACATATGCTTGTCTATCAAGAGGAATATTGCTGTTTATTTCTCTACCATCTATTATATATATCCAACAGAAAATTGCAGAAGTGCAGGAGAAAAGATGTTGTACTCTAGAATAGGCTAAAATGATTGGATGGACAAATAAATAGAGATTTATGAGCATGGACACTGAACTCTATGCCTTTTCTCGTCAATGATCACATGTATTAATTCTGACAAGACTATTAAATTGAATTTATATACTGTTATTGAAGTATGTGTAGGTTTTTGAATAATATATTTGTTCATGCTTAATCTCACAGAGTGGCAAGCAAGAAACCCAGTGAAACATTTGCTGCCATGAGCAAATTGGGAAGTAGGATCAAAGGTGTCTTCAAAGGACAAACAGGTAAGAACATTTCTTTTTTCTAATTCCTTCAGAACTTTACTCTCATTTTTGATTTTTTTTTTTTCTTCTTTCTTTTTCTTCTCAATATTGAATATCATTTGTAATCTGTATTTCCTGAATATTGATACAGATAAAAGCTTCAAGTAGCCTATTCAGATAAGAGCTAGAAGGTGTTAACTCTGTGATAGGCCTAAGGTATGAGTAAACACCCTTCTGGTACCAAACAGATGAAATCATAAAATATTAGAGTACTGTACAGGAGAGTTGAAGAAATAAAATATAGAAATACATAGAATATACTTTTCAAAATTCAAAGGCTGGGTACTAACTACGCCTTCCTTTTTGCTTTGTTCTTTGTTCTTCAATAGATGGTGAGAGCCTGTTTAACTTAGACCTCTATGAAGAATCAAGTCAACCATCGGTAAGTACATTGTATATGGTTCAACTAGAACAAAAGTTCTGAATCAGTAATCTACTCATACTTTGGACTAATAATAAGTTTGATCAAATATATTGAGCAAAAATGTTTTCAGAATTGCAGCGATTTTTAAAATTAAGCATGGAGATTCAGTGTACCAATCATAATATTGTGTATACAGTAGGCTTGCGGGTGCACCATGTTTGAGAGAGAGAGAGAGGATTGAGGAGTCCTGAAAAGGACTCTCGGTAATCTTTCTTGAGGGTGTGCAGTCCTGAAAAGGACTGTTTGTGTAGTCTTGAAAAAGACTGTTGGTTATCTTTCTTAGCTATAGTTCTAAGGAGAACTATAGCGCTTGTAGAGGATGAGTGGCAGGAGTGGCTCGACATTTTGAACAGGTTGACTATCCGTCGTCGTTGTCGTGCACCCGCAAGCCTACTGTATATCTACATCACCATGCAAGCCGACACTTTCAAGCAGCATCTAATATTGTGTTTGTTTACCAGTCTGATGTAGATCAAATATCTGATGATGAAGACACCCATCAGACTGGTGTATCATCACCCCAGCATTTTCTGAGTGCATGGAGAGTCTACCAATCATAATATTGTGTTTGTTTACCAGTCTGATGTAGATCAACTATCTGATGATGAAGACACCCACCAGACTGGTGTATCATCACCCCAGCATGATCTGAGTGCATGGAGAGTCAGTATACCAATCATAATATTGTGTTTGTTTACCAGTCTGATGTAGATCAAATATCTGATGATGAAGACACCCACCAGACTGGTGTATCATCACCCCAACATGATCTGAGTGCATGGAGAGTCAGTATACCAGGTGTTGGGATGAAGATGGAAGGAGGGAAAGAAGGATTTGTTTTCATCATCGACATTCAGAGGGTTGATGTCAGGGAAGGGGATGGAGAGAGGAACTCCTGGCGGGTTGAAAGGTATGCCACCATCATCTTATCTTCTCTTACAATAACTTTTGTGGATATACATGTATTCTGTTCAATATTATAAGGGTCACTGCCAAAATTTGCCACTCTTAATCTATGTATATGATATTTACATGCATGGCCCTCGCGTACACAGATAACGCGTGGCGCGCGCGCCACGCGTTCCTGATGGGCCCGACCTAGCGCCACGCGTTCTTTAAAAAAAAAAATTTAAAAAAAAAAAAAAAAATTTTTTTTTTTTGAAAAATCAGAAAATTCCGGAATTTCTGGTCCTAGAAATCCCCCAAAACAGAATATTCTGAATTATTCGTAAGGGTTGGCAGGTATGGTATTAAAAATTCATCAAATTACTTGTAATACCGGTATTTGTAAAAAATAAATTTAAATTAAAAAAAAAAAAAAAAAAAAAAAAAAAAAAAAAAAAAAAATCAAATTTTTACTTTTTTTTTTTTGGGGGGGGGGGGGGTCAAATTTTCCCTCGGGTCGCGCCACGCGTTTTTAATTTCTTGGCGAGAGGCCTGATTACATGTGTATGTTTTTAGTGCTAAGTCATACTGATATAAATGCGGCACTTCCTTCTATTTACATAGACTATCAGCAACACTCTTTGAACATGTTTTTGATTGCTACATTTAAAACAAAATATCCTGAGCTACTTTTTCTGCAATTACAATCTTACTTTTATCCATCACTTTGGCTTTGAAAACAGTAAAAACTCTGCAACATTTCTGTGAAACATAAATTTGTTTTCAAGATTGATATTCCTGAAACTCTGTTTGTTTCTGCTTGACAGGATGTACCATGAGTTCTATGCCTTGGAACAGAAGCTGAGAGAATTCCATGGTATGTGAAAGCAGGATTGAATCTGCTGCTGATGTATCTTGTGCTTATTTCATATTACATGTATTATTGATGTATGGCTGTTTACTATATGCCTGTGAATGCATAATAGGCATTGTTTTAATTTTAAATAACAAAAGTTCTTAATTAAGCCTTCAAAAAAAAGATGTTGTATTGACCTTTTAGGTGTCAAAACATGGGTCGGTGGGTCTGAAATCTTTTTAAATTTGTTTTTACTTTTTAATTTTTTCTCCCTCTTTGGGCTGATATTTTTCAGTTTTGAATGCTTTACTACATATTTTTTTTTATTCATTAAACATTTTTTGGATCGGTCACAAAGGGCAATACAACATCTTTTTTTTTAACGCCTTATGGTAGAGTTGTAAATCAGTATTGGTTTTCTAGCCTCCATCTTGTTCAAGTTAACAAGGTAACATGAGTGTTTTTATTGATTTGCTCAGGTGTGTTTGAAGATGCTCAGCTGCCTGTTAGACGACCGTTTGGAAGCAAGTCACAGGACTTCATGGAGAAGAAAAGACCTGGGTTAGAGAAATATCTCCGGGTAAGAAATATTCTGGGGACGCTTATGTTTCATGGAAACACAGGCAAACGAAAGGTCCATATAACCATGCCCTAGAAGTGATAGAAATTATTCTTACTATAGTGTGTACAAAAAATTGATATTAGGGTCATAATTTCTATCCCATGACATCAATATCAATAGGAGAATTCACAATTAACAGCCCCCCCCCCCCCAAGGGCAAGCCACGACAGGCCAATTTTTCAGATTGTGGGTCGACATCTTTCAACCAGTGCAGCTCGAAAAAACGCTAGCCACCGATCAAAATGACCAAAGTGGCCTAAACATAGTAAGAAGGGTCAATATTTTGGGGATCAGCGCAATTTTGTTTACCCTGGATAAGCTATTCAAACTTTCCCAACCAAAAATTCTTTAAAGAAAACCCTTGTCAAAGTATTATACGGCCCCTTCTATCAAATGATGAGCAATGCCTGGCAGTATTTGTAGTTATCAAGCAAAAATCCTGAGTAGATCAAACCAAGATGCCACAGCTGATATTTTTTGTTGACCTTTTCCAATAATGCATCATGTGAACTCGACTAAAGACTGTTGTCGTCGCTAGATGGTGCTGTGAATTGGGAATCCACAGTAATGTTTTCTTTCTTTCACAGAAATAAAGAAATGGTACAATTCTTCCTGAAAAGTGAATGCTCTGCCTTATCCTATGGAATACAGTGTGTGATAGTATAGGCTCTTGTCCAATGGAATTACAAATCATAGAGGAAGAAAAACACCCTTATACCTAGAGACATAATGAAGGTTTAATAAAGTCTTGGCGCTGCATACAACATGTGAGATGCAGGAGAAACAGATGAAAAAGAACAAACTTTTATGGATACATTATTTATTGTGTATGTAATTTTTTTTTGTACTTTGTCCTATATATGATAAGTGTCCATCAGGTATCTCTGTGTCTTGATTTAATACATAATACCAAATAATTAAATTGCTACAGGTTCTACTTACCAAGCCAATCTTGAGAGGAAGTCAGCTTCTCTATACATTCCTTACAACCAACGAAGAGTTTGTCAACAAGATTTTTGGAGATGTCAATCTAGGTATGGTTCATATACAGTTAACAACTAAATTATTCGAACCCTTACCAAGTTTTGTAATTTTTAAAGTACAGGGTGTATGTGAAAAATTGATTTGTCCTAATATATGTTTCTTGAGATTGTGACATGTTAAAGCTTTACACATCTGAAAAGTAATCTACAAAGGCCTTTATTTAATCAGTCCACCTTTCATTCTTGGGTTACGAAAAACACCCAAAACATCAGATTTACAAAGGGTGTGAATAATTTAGTTGTTAACTGTTAAGTTATTATTGTATCATGAGTATTTTCTACAGAGCCCTGGAGGCAGCATGTGTTTCCTTCGTCATCCTCTTGAAATCTCCTTTAAACACAGCAATATTTGCTATTGGCCTTATTGGATGATACTTTCTGTTGAGTGTGGGTCCTAGAAGTGTGTGTGATCATGCATATTGTTTCTTGTACTGTCAGTCTAGTAAACTAAAATATTTCCTCAGAAGTAAAGGTTGGTAGTGGTCCTCCTTAATACTTGTATCAGAAGAAGGAAACTTGAAACAGAAAAATAATTCACAAAGTGTGAAATGAAACCCATTTTGTCTTTTTTAAATCTCCAAAATAAACAAAAAGAATGAAACTTTGAAACTTTGAAATGTACTCGTTTTAAGGGCTATAGCATAACAATAATCCAAAGTGTAAGTGACAAGATTATCATATGAGTTTGTTTGTTTTTCACATTGGTGAGATTCTTTTACAATTTTTGTTGGATATGTGAGTGATATCATTTCAAACTTAATCTTTCACGTATTAATGTGCTGCAAAATTGAAGATGCTAATGTTTTATTTTGCTATTGATATAACTTGCAGGGAAGTTTGTACGTTCAGTCTCCACCAAGGTCATCAAAGAGGTAGGATTACTTAGACGGGTCAGTGACACAAAGACGTAACTCCATTTTGGCCATTTTGGCCATTTTGAGAAAAGGTGGTTTATGTGTCACTGAGCACTTGGGCCTTAGGGAGTTATGTCTATGTTTCACTAGCCATTGACTTCTATGGGGTTTTGGGTAGATTTAAGTCTTTGTGTTTCCTGGAAAGCCCACATTTCCTGAACATTTTGATATCAAATAGTCATTTTGGTAAAATATGGAGTTACGTCTTTGTGTCACTGAACCCTTGAATTGTTTTCTAATTCAGGAAATTGAATTTGTATGTAGTTAGAAGTAAGACGATGATGCAAGTAAACTCTGGTCAATGAAGAGCTATTCTGTGATGTTTGGTTGATAGCATAATGCCTTCCTATTGGAATAAGATTGAATTGAATTGATCTTTATTTCATTCATCATAAAAACATCATAAAAACATATAAAATACGTAACATAATGTACAAGTAAAAGAAAACATTTATAATAGAGGAGGCGCGATAGCTCAGTCAGTAGAGTAGTGGTCTCGTAATCCGGTGACCCCTTTGGTATTAAAGGCATTAATCCTCATTACCAGGTCCCTCGGAGAGGACCTAAAGCCGTCAGCCGTCTGGTTGCTTACTTACAAGCATTTATGCTTTCTTAGCAGTCAGGTAAAATAACCACCATCACCAACAACAATCAAATGTCATATGAATGGGAGACTGCTAGCAAAGCCAAAGGCTTTCTACTGATTCAATCAGTAGTGAGTGCTTGATTGTCAAAGAGGCAATAGCAAAAAAGATTTTGACAGGTTATGTTTACTGTACTATCAAGAAGCAAAGCTCTTTTTAAAGGCACTTTGTTTCCCCCTAGAAAGGAATGCATTTTTCCAATAATAATTCATGATTTTAGGTTTGCTCACTGTACACATACCGGCACATACTCTGCCAATCAGGATGATTTATGTATAATTTGCTCTATCCAGTCATTTATTCATTAGAAAAAAAGAAATGTAATTTTAATTTACTCTTAATTAATAGTATATACTGTTAGAAAGGATACCTTGCATTCTGAATAGTTGTTAATACATTGTAGTTACATTTGGTTTCTTGTTTGCTAGAGAGGACAGCATCTAGAGCGTTTCCTGGTGACCTTCCTTGCTTCTGTGGAAGCTGCTAGACCTAAAGCAAGGTAAACACTTGACAGTCCAAGTTATCTCAAATCAAGTTTGATGAGCCAAATCCTGACAATTGATGCATCTTTCAAGTGACTGTACCAGTTTTGCTAAAAGACAGATTGGTCAAAACATTAATAGTAGCTAGACGTTATAAGGAAACTTTCAACCTTAAATCCTTAAAGAGCAATCTAACTCTTGTTATAATTTGGTTTGTATCAAAGTAGAAAAATAACATAAACAGCATGGCAAAAGTTTTAAATGAATCTGACCAATATTTACAAGGAAGTTATGAATTTTTGAAATATGAGATTGAGATCACTATTAGTCTATGCGAATCTCAAATTGGTATATTGGTCAGAGGATTTTGACGTAGGACGGGGATAACTCTCCCATTTGCTGTGTACAAAAATTTCATTAATTTCTGTTATTCTCGAACAGGTCCTTCTTTCTTGGGGCACTACTCAACATATATTATAAATAGCATATTATTACAGGTCCTCTAAAAAGAATAGACCCTCCTGAGCCTCAAATTTTTGAAATTTTGAAATTTTAGTTATTTTATATTTCGGAACAGATGGGAAAGTAGTCTGGCACTACATCACATTGACATTACCGCTTCAGCCAATTTGAAGTTCCCATACGTATAGTGATTATAAAAAAACTCAATACATAAAATTCATAGATAAATTTTACATCAATTTATGAATGCTACTTGCATCAGAAATATTTAGTAATGGAATCTGAGATAAGATTTGTTGAATTCTGTATTTTCATATTGGAATCTATTCTAGATATAATGCCGTAATTAAAGTTTATATATGTCCTATACTTGTCATGATGTAGATTATGTTCTTTGTTTTTGTTTCCTTGTAGTGCTGATGAGGATGAGACGGATCCAGATCTGACAGAGAAAGAAATGGTAAGGGTTCTGATACCAGCTAAGAGTGACAGGGTCATCCCAAGAGACAGACAGATAAAGAGACAGACGAAACATAGAAATACATTAGGATATACAGGAATGAAGAAAGATAAGGATAGGCTAAAGGACTACGGCCCACTATATAGACAAAACAGAGAAATACGAAAGGAAAGATGGGAATTTGATGTCTTATCATGGGCTGTTGGTTTAATGGGCAAGTGAATGCTACAAATGGGTTGCTGGAAGACCTGTGAGACCCATATTGTTGGGTTTTACAAAATGTAGCAAAATAAAGTCAGCAAATACTTCTTGTTATTATTTCACACAATTACATGTAAGTAGATTCAAATTTGAATGTATATTCTGGAAATTGCATGTATATTATTCTTTCTCTCTCCCTCTCTCTCTCTCCCTCTCTCCCCCTATCTCTCTCATTCTCTATCTCCCTCTCTATATATGTCTGTCTCTCTCTCCCTCTTTCTCTCTCTCTCCCTCTTTCTCTCTCTCCCCCCCCCCCCCCTCTCTCTCTCTCTCTCCCCTCTCTCTCTCTCTCTGTATGTCTGTCTCTCTCTCTCTCTCTCTTCCTTTCTCTCTCCCCCTCCCCTCTCTCTCTCTCTCTAGCTATCAAGTCTCCTGTTTGAAAACAATGCTGGTCAGGAGTTGGATAGACCAAACCTAAAGGAACCTTGGACCAACCCAGAAGCCAGCTACATGCAGCTCAATGGAATCATTCAGTATGTCTTGTACTTGGGTGAGTAGCTCTGGGCTACTTGTCGTAGCGTGGTTTGCAGGCACTTATTTTCCTTGTTACATTTCTTTTTATTTGGGCTTAAGCCCCCCTGCACTACTTATAGCTATTTGCGCCCTCTATATAGCAAACAATGCCTAATCAGTGACCATTGGTCCCCCATTATCCCCTTTTTCTTATGATAATTGAGAGCTTATTTGATGAGATAACCACCTGTCAGTGACCATGCAGGGAGGTATAATCCCTCCTGACAAACTTGTGCAGTGGGACTTTAAGGTCTATCACAAAGCTATATCTTGTTAATATGTTTCTGAATAAAACGGAATTGAAATATTTTTTGGTAGAGTTGTTTTCTGTTTCCTTCTGGGTAGTATATGTAAGTGAGCTTTTCATCATTTTGAAAAACTAAGAAGAAATATGAGGTGCAAATGAACAAACTCTCAAATATGAAATGGCTCAAATTACAGCTCAAAAATGTCGGAATGTTAACAGGTCCGTGATATACAAGCTAGGAAAATACAGCTGTAGAATCTAGATTATATAATGTTGACAAATTATTCTATTGGTGTATTTTTCATTTGTTTTAAAATTTTGTTTCATTACAGCTCGCTCTGTCTTCGATGTACCTGTATGGATGCATCAGATGATTGTAACCTTTGCAAAGATATTTGGAAACTCACTGGAAACATATTTGGATTAGTATGTGAACTCTTTGTTTTACTCTCCCCCCCCCCCCCCCCCCCCCCCCCCTCTCTCTCTCTCTCTCAATCTTTCTTGCATGCACCCTCTCTGCTGCCTCTTTTCCTTTCCTTTCATCTACGCTCTTCTAAAATTGCCATCCTCCTTCGACTCTATTCCTCCGTATCCTCCTCTCTTTTTCCTTTTTATATGTCTTTCTTTTATAAATATTATATCATTTTCTCTTGTTTTCCTTTTATTTTTCCATTTCTTGCCTAAATATCACTCATATGACTATCAGCTTGTTTCAAGAATTTAGCAAAATATATACTACATGCAAAGATTAAAAAGAAAGCATTATTTGTAAATTATTTGTAATTATTAACTTGAAGAAGATGAGATTATTAATGAAAAGATTCTATATTCCACTATGATGATAAATGACCATTTGACCTTTAACCTTTGCCTTGTATAGTTTCATCAATACTAAGACGGAGATGTTGAAGAGTGAGCAGATGGTGGAGCATATCATGTATCTACTCAGAGGTATGCTAGCTGAGTATCATCTCCTATGTTTTACATAGATTAGTCTCTTTGTATTATACATTACCGGTAGGCTCATTGATTTCACATCGGGCACATGGGCTCTTTGACTTCAAACTTCCACATATATATGAAGTGTTCCATTTTTGTAACTTTTACCAAAATGACAACAACTTGTCAAGATTTTTGTTTTTTAATTGTAGATTTACATAAGGTATAAGGTATTTGCGAGAGTGTTATTTTTAAACAGCATGACTGTTTTATCTTCTTGTTGTCAGCCATTATAGTCGCTATGTGTTTTTATTTTAAAGAGTACTGTCTATCCTGGTGATCTAGCTGACACATCTTTGAAGTGTTCTAATGAAAAACAAAGCAAGCACTTGTGCTTTTGCAATAATACCTATCAATTGAACTATATGATACTGTAGTATGGTTACAGCCTCGTGCAAGCTTTTAGAACAACCCAGTTAACCACAAAGGGACATACATTCCTGTATTTTGCTTTTGGGACTGGACGAGGAATAATCTCTGGATGCAATGGTAATACACTGATTTTACATTTTCTTTTCTATTTCAGATGTTCTATTCTTTGATGAAGACCCACCCAGGACGGATGCACAGAAGCTTGAGAGGAAAGAGTTTGCCTTCCAACAAATGCTCAAATTCTTCCCAAGTAAGATGTACTGTATTCTAACTGACCAGTGGTGTACTACATATAAGCGCATGACTTGTGATTTTAATACATGTACAAGTATCATACAAATACTTACACCGTAAGAAACAGTATGGTATAAACATTTCACAAGTAAAAGATACTAACTCTCAATGGTCTTGAACATCTCTCCAAAAGGATAGAGGTTCTTTTACAATGCTGATAATTCCTGTGTTGATGTAGCAAAGATGTCCCCTTCTATATTTCCATATTCCACTGTTCGATAGCTTTGCATGTGTGCACAAATATATTTGCATATTAGACCAACATGAATTCAATGATTACTGTTTTCTTCTCTAGGTATAGTACCCAAGGTTCTTGGAGAAGAGAAGTTTTATGATGGATGTAAGATAGTCTTTGATGCTCTGCAATATCCCAAGCTCAACAAACAGGTGAGTGCTTGTGGTGCGCAATACTTCTTCTCTTTCAATCGTGTAGTACAAAAGCTCCTGTCATTTTTGCAGTACTTTGCCTGAAACTGGGATGCTGGCTAAAGTTTTTAAGATGTGAAAAGTAATGTGTCATATACATGTTACTGGATAAGAAATTATAAATTATAATGCTTTATTTGTGACAGTGATGAATATTGATACGGGGAGAAGCCTTGACCGGTCATCCATTCCATCACAGTGCATGCATCTTTTCTCACTTGTATCATTTGTCTATTTTTTGTTCAATGTTCTTCATTTTTGCATACATTGTATTTTATAAGGGATGTGAAATAAATAAATTTAAATTTGAATTTGTATATTTAAGAACAAGTCAAATGATTCATCCTGTGTGTTGAAAACATTTCAAAGAATTTGATTATACTAAGTTACCATCAAGCCACCTCAGTCAAGGGAAAACAATATGCTTTGTTGGGGGGGGGGGGCAGAATAACACAGCCAGACTGTGCGCACATATTGTACGACAGGGCAATCAAATTTCTTAAATCTCTAATGGGCAATTAATTTTATAATCGTTTTCTTGCAGCTCTCTTACATTCTCTTGGATATTGTCATCAAGGAAATCTTTCCTGAATTATCTGATGAGGTGAGTACGTTCATTCAATCTTCCATCACAAAGCTCCACAATGTTCCACAATAAAGTTTACAGACACATATCTCAACTTGAACTACTTTTTGAGACAATCAATCATTTCATGGCTCATACGGATAAAGAATTGTTCCTATTCTTCAAACATTAATTTTCATGAACCCATGTCTTTTAAAAATAGAGACAAGTTTCTTTATTTATTTTATTTTAGTTATAAAATATAAGTACAAATATTAGATTTAGACTAGGAAACCTTGATTCTAAAAAGAAAGTTTCTATTACAATGTATTTCAAAGAGAAAATCATGCAGAAATTGTTTTCATTGATATTTTCAAGATAGCAACATTTGGTAACCCAGAGTAAATTATTAGTTTTTATTGAAGTGTTCTGCCTGTTAGAGAAAGCACACCCTCAGGTCTGCAGATTGCAGTAATGTGTAGTATGTTTGAATTCAGATTTTTTATTTTATCATTTTATAGGATGATGCAGATGAGGAAGCTTCACAATATCAGGAAGATCACTATGAGAAAGATTGAACTAAAATGGCGTAACAAATTGAACTCACATCTCCCTTTCTTTTAATATCCTGGAATATTATTCTGCAAGAAGATAGTATCTAAGCACTAGAAAGTCATGAATGCTGAGAAGATGGGTACATAGGTTGAAAGGCTGAAAGCAAAGAGGCCAGTTTAAGTAGTTTCTGTTACAAGGAATCAGTATTGTTGGATTATGTCTATCCAACAGTACTCAATTTCCTTTTGATAACCATGGTTATCACTGTTCCATTCATTAGAATCACAGTTATGAATTATGATCATTATTAGCATAACCATGATCAGAAGAGTAGTAAAATTTTCAGCATTTAATGCAACTAAATTATACTGAACTTTTCATGCAAATATTGGACTTTTTTTTAATGTTAAATTTCTGTGGTTATGTCAACAATAACCAATTCCTTCTGCCTACCGATTTCAGTTAATGCTACATTTTTACTGAAATATTCTGATGAAAGTTGGCAGCTCTTTTTTTTTTTTTTAGTCAATAACTTTATCTTTTATATTGGATGCATTTGTATTACTTTTGGCAAGATCTTTATCATTTTGCAATACTCTAGATTTTTTTTCAGAAGAGATATGAAGCCAATTACTGTAATATATTCCTTTCCATGGTCCTTGCAAGCCAAGTAACTGCTGTGCTTTATAATGTTCTGGTCAGGATTTCAAAATGTCTGCTTGTTTGGAGTTAAATGTCAAATATGCATGTGATTTTTTTTAACATTGACCAAGCACTGATTACATTTTTATAAGGGTGTGATACTAGAATTTAAATAATTCATAAAACAGTAAATCTAAATAAAAATTGAGAATGATGAAATTACATTACATGCCTATGGGCAGGCAATGGGTTGTGCTGTACACTTAGAACTTGGATCATCAATTTTGTTGTGATATTGAAACTAAATCATTCCATTTTACAATTATTCCACAATCATGAATTGGTGTAATCTTACAGTTTTTTAAAAACAATATTTGTATGTCAAGTAGGACTGCTCTCTTTCTTCTATTTTGCGAAAATGATGAGAGTTGTAAGTCTAAAAAATAACTGTATGTGACAAAATTGAAATTACTAATGACTAGTTGCAGTAGTGATGAATGTGTTTTGCTTCATACACATCTTTACAAAACAGGGTTAAACTGTATCCGATCATGATTATGTTATGTTTATGTTTTAATTCAGCAGTACTGTAGAATTCAGCCCCCAATCGTCAGAGTAGAAACTTGTTGCACTAAAAACTCTATCGATCATGTCTCACTCAATCATGCATACAAATGATGAAAAGAGGCTTACCGGTATTCATAGAGTTACAGTATTCTGTGCATTGTCATCATGAGTTTAAAGATAAAGTTGAGTTCTGCGATTGCATTGTGAAAGAAAAGGTGTGTATGGATCAGAGTAAGTTGATCATGTAGCATGTAAGTACTGGTGTCTACTGCAAGGTTCTGGAGTCATCAAAATCATAATAAATTTGACCCAGTCTTGGTAAAGAAGCACTGTACACAGAAAGATGTATATGGGACTACACAAATGGTGTCGGGGCTAGTATACCTTGATATCCTTATCTTTCTATGCTCATTACTCAGCCAGTATACATTTTCTACCAAAATTGTTTGGCAAATGACATTCATTTGTAATCTTGAACATTCAGTGTAAGTTTTGTTTGATTCTGTGAGAATTCATTTTCTTTTTTTACCAGAACTCAAGTTTATCTTAAAGTGTGCTACTTCACAAATTGAAGATGAGGTCCTAGATGGCTGTGTTGATTTCATGGCTAAAGTAATTTAGTTGATCCTACCAGTTTGCTATAGCTTGTATTTTGTTCCCTTTTTTAGTGTAGTGTTGGCATTCATTAAGAAATGAATGTCTGTAACTCTGTAATTATGTAAACATATATTCTACAGGTGCTTTGAGAAGGCCTGTGGTCCTGAAATGCGCTTTAAAAGAACAAACTATTATTATTATTATTATTATTAATTCCCTCCTGATAGAATTTTTTATTCATATCCAAAGCTTGATTAATATTCTATTTCTCTGAATTGAAACTACTTTGAATTTCTATGTACATATATTTGAAGAGAGCTGATAGTTAACAAACACTTCCAGAGAGTTGCTTGTAATTTTTACACATAAATATTTGCATGTATGCTGTTGGGAGCCCCAAATTCACACAAAAAATTGATGGCAAAATTCCACATAAATTGTATTATAATGTGAAAGAGTATGTCATTTAAGACACACTTCTGCAAAGATCTTTCCCCAAAAAATGTGTTTGAAGTCAAACATTGATAGAAGAATATATAACTTGGGTTTTTGTGTTGTACGCAGAAAACCTAAATTGTATATTCTTTCATTAATATTTGACTTCCAATACATTTGTTTTGAAAATCCTTGCAGAAATGTGTATTAAATGACATCCTCTTTAACATTATGATACAATTTAAGTGAAATTTTGCTATCAAATTTTTGGGGCTCCCAACATTTTAGAGGGGCTTTATTGATGTATATATTTTGCATATAAAGAATAAAAAGTTGTATGTGTTAAATTGTTGCAATATGGAAAATGAAAAGGCACTTTGTATAGTACAGCAATCATGTGTAAAAAAAAAATCTGTGTCAATATCTATTACAAGGTTGCAATATATGAAATGTATATGTTATAGTTGTTCAATAAAATCAATGCACTATTGATATCGATGTAATTCCATGATTGTCAAACTCTTGCTTCAGTAAAGTATCCAAGGCAAGTCTTTCCCCTTTATGGCCGAACCACATATAATGGTATGTTGTTGGATAGATGGAAAGCTGTGACTGATCAGCATAAAACCAGTAATAAGTTGCCAGAATTAATGTGTTTCATTTAAATTTGTTTTTCTTAAGCTAGAGATTCCAAGCTTTTCTATGTTATTCGAAATTAGAGACGTATTGCCAGTTTTAGAACTGTCTGGTCACTAACATTCATTCCTTCTACTCTTGAGGCTATCACATTGTTTTATCTCTTTGATCGCCATTTCTTATTTTGACTTCAAAGTAAAACACAGAAATGAGAAACTTGCTTTTAGGCAACTTCAATATCACTCGGTGTTTTTTATTTAATTGCACACATAATATATCTTGGCGACAGATTACCATAGAAGTGAGTGCATCAAAACAACGGCTGACCTCAAGGTCGTTGCCATTGGCAATATAAAGCTCTTATGGCCTTGTGAAGATATGCACCGATTGTAACAACAAAACGGATCTTATTTGTAAATTTAATATTGATACCACACAATGAATGAAAATCTGCCTCTTAAAGGGGGTATGTCATGACGAGACTACGTGACTTTCCCTTTGCCTGACTTGGTGGACCAATCATGTATAACACGACTACGCGACCGCAGTATTCACGTGCGTGCAACATATGCAAAAACAGAAGCATGAGGAGAACTTTGGTCTGTTTCTCGAATGCTAGCGCTTGCTGACCGTTAATCAAGTCCATTCGTTAACGTGCAGTTGCCTAAAAGCAGTTGTAGATGGCGTTAACCCGTATTTGCCATGCTACACCCCTTTAAAGCTTTATACACAAGGCTATACTTTACTAGATATGTGCAAGCAACCATTATACAAGGTTTATCAAGAAGCTTCTAATGATTTCCAAGTATGTTGAGACACAAGATTATTACTTGCAGTGAGTGGATATGGCCACATACAGATTTTCAATTACTTCATATTTCAACAATCTACCATATGTATCTGTACATTTATTTGCAAAACATTCATATATTAAAATGCTCTTAAGTCCAAATGGAAGCTGAATACAAAGAAATCACCTTCTGATAACGTAAATATGCAATAAATCATTGCATAGGCATTTAACCTTGTATACACAGCACTATAATCTCACACTAGTAAAAACCTTTACATGTATATCACACTATAAGCTCATAAATTTGTATGCCAGTACCACTATTCTATATCTTCTTTGCTATATGAAATAATATAAGCATCTCACATACTCGTACTCATTACAAGCACAACTGTACTAAGGGATACTCTAGGGATGAAAGGAGAAATTATTTCTTTTAAAATCTGAAACTGAGGATTATGGTACAGGAGGAAATGTTTGATGAGAAGCATTCCCATTTATCAGGTACACACATTGCACAAACCTAATACAGGGAGGTCTACACTCTGCATGAAAACATATGTCAATGATATTATACAAATATTGCAAGCTCCAGCGCTCAGTATAACAAATATAGGAACAGACAATGTAAGAAATTCATGAGTGATGTTATATTTCACCAAGGTCGGAATAACAGGATGATGGGAATTATGAACTTGGAGGTAACATGTGTTATACTAAATGCATGAAATATTTGTTATACAAATTAAGGATAGTTGTGATCTCATGCCTTCCAGCCTTACGCATAAAATACATGCGGCTAACACAATGCAAACAACGGATACACGCTAGTGTGTGCAGGGATGCTTGGATAAGGTATGATAAAAAAACATACTCATTTGAACAGGTCGTCAATATAACTTCAAGAAATGACCGGTAGTGAAATATATAATTACCTTCCTCGCAGTAATTATCACATGATGAGCTGTGGACCAATCACAACGTTGTAGCTTTAAGAGCTATCTAAAATAACAGTATAGCATCTCATTGTATCCCATACATGTCATTACAGTAAAACCAAAACTTTTTGTAACATTTTGCAAGTGGTGTAGGTTCACATAGTTTCATGTTGCAAAAATGTTGAACCTCACTACAAAGAACACTTTCAACAACGTAATGTTGCTGGTCCCACTCCGTTGTCTCTTACTTTCAGTACTGAGATAACAAGGTTTCAAAATAAGGTCATTTCCCATGTTTCAATAATATATAGGTTCCACTGCACTGAAAGTTTGCAAATCAGAAAAGTTTCTTGCCACAAAAATGGCCATCATGAATGATTCAAGAAAGATGTTTTCATTACACTGTACAGTATAATTGCTATGTGTTAATACGATTCTGTGGTCATTTGATGACATGAATGACCTTTGACCTCTGCCTCTTATTGGGGGATGTTATCCTTCTAAAGCTACTGAGATGTTCCACATACTGAGAAGCTTGATATCAGACACCCCAGCCATCAGACCCATTTGATTAGTGTGTAGTTCTTCTTGCCTGTAGTGGAATGAGGTGTAAAGAAGAAAGGAAATGAAATTACAAAAAAACAATCACAATTAAGTTTTAATATGGTGTTGGTTGAGGTAAAGTTCTCTTCAGTAAGCTTTGAAATTCATAAGAGGACAATATAGGTCAGCATCATCTGTCCGAATTGAAGTAAACTATTCTTCCTTTTTTAGTTATTTTGAGATTTTATTATGAACTGAACATTATCTACAGGCTGTAAATCCAGAAACAATTACATGCCTGATACATTCATCATCAAGACAATCTAGCATGACAATCTTTCTTCATGACAATCATAAAATACAGCACAACACAAGTTACTTCTCATGAATCCAGTAAAAAACCATTACCTCATAGTTTGCAAAATATTACATTTTTACTTTTCTTAGGGTACTACATAGGCCTATGTTTTCAGTTTCTTCATTAGACACAGACTAGTCAGAGTCATTTCCAAACAGGATGAAAAATTAAAGAAATTGAAATGACAATTTAAAATCTTACAGTGAGATTATCGATTTCTCAACTTTATAATAGAAGAACTACATGTACTCTTTAGATAAAAATCTTAAGATATCAGGCTGTTGATAGATAAATTATGGAACTATATTCAATCACAAACTTTGTACATAGAGAGTACAATAAAAAAAAACATTACAATAACTAAAGTTTTAAAACAGAAAGATAAGGCTTACCTATTCTGAGTAATGTGACATTGTTACTAAGGATATGAAGACCTTTCTGCAGAACTTCATGTGGATTGGTAACTCTCTGTTTATTGACATAAACACCACCATCTTCTATGATTCCTACTCCTCGATCTATAACAAACAAACAAAGAATGATTTTTGGCTTGCTTGCACCCGAGAACTAAAGATTGCATGCTTGATCTTGTAATTAAAAAAAAGTTAGAAAAATCTTGGAAACAGCAGGATTTGAACCTGCATCTACTGCTTGTCGGGCAGCGACTCTACCACCAGGCCATCACTAGGCCATGGCACAGTCACGATGAACTAGAAACAAATACCCAAGCTCTCCTGATTCATTCTGACTTATTAATATTTATCAGTCCACCATTTGAATGTTAGGCTTCCCGGAGAAATTTCAATTGTTGTAAAGAATTGTTAGGCTTGCACCCAGTAAATGAATATCGCATGCTCGATCTTGCAATTCTTGACAGCAATTGAAAATCCTGGGAAGCCTAACATTCAAGGCTATTGTCCAAATAATATAAACCTAGCAATTTATTGCCCTTGGACTTCCGTATCAACATAAAAATAAAAGATGATAATCTACTAACCTTTTGGTAGAGCTCCTGCGGCTACAGCAACCTGATAGACAGTAAGACCAGGTTCTAGCATTATCTCTACAAAGCTTCCTCCACCGAAGAGTTGGCTCACTTCCTCTACGCTTAATCTCTCTAAGGCACCGGGATCAGAGCTGTACAAGGCTTCAGTCAAACGTCGGGCCTTTTCTAATCCTTCCTCTACAGAAAACGTTTGAAGAAAAATGGTGATACATATATAGTTCAGTTATCGTTGAAAAAAGTATATGATGCATCTACCAAATGTAGAGTACAGTTTTATGGCTAGAAGCCAAAAACCACTTGCATTCTAATTATTTTCTTCTTTCATACTCATCATTCTCCTAATATCAAAGTCTTTCTCTGGTCACTCCACTAGAATAAAGTGCTGCAGTTTTTATCAGTAGTTTTTTTTTCATGAGAAAAGGCATCACACCAATCAGAGCACCACATTTTTTGTTTTCTTTCATTCTTTCTATCTGTAATGTTTTTCACATCATTAAAATGTATCTTGTAATATCTCAATGTATCTTGGATGAATAATGACTTACCCCCATGAACTAATAGGAGCACTTGCTCAGCTAGCAACCTCTGAGCCTTTCGTTTCTCTGGCTTGGCCTACAAAAGAAATATAATTAGGAATAAAATAGAGTGACATCACTCTTTATAAATCAACCTACATGTACCTTTTTATGATTACATCCAAGCACTGGGTTCTGTATAACACTAAGGAGGTGCGATGACTATGTAGTAGAGCAGTAGTCTCGGTACCACCAGGACCCAGGTTTAAAACCAAGTCGATGCACTCGTGCCCTTTGGTAAGGCATTAATCCTCATTACCAAGTCCCTTGGAGAGGACTTAAAGCAGTCGGTCCTTTGGTCGCTTACTTACAAGCATATCCATGCTTTCTTAGCAGTCAGGTAAAACAAACCATCAAACCAATCAAGTTTAAACCATGGGCCAAGAAAAACCTATTTTGTGAATTTGGGTCTTTCATTTACTTTGAAAGCATGTTTGAAAGAAAAATGTATGTACCAGTAGTAACTGTCACCTCAGTGAGTGAAGTAATAGTTCAAGGTATTACTTTTAAACTGAGCAAATTAAAATTACAACTTAATATTCGTTTATAAAATCCAAGTATCATCAACTGAGCAATTATATTCCATCAGAATAAAAGAGTGCACTTTGCTTGTCATACATTATAAAACAGTGAATGTGACGATCACCTTGTGTTTCCTGACTACTGCATCAATATCTTGTAGAGGCAGGAATGTGAAGAGCTTCAGAGACTTCTCCACATCATTATCATGCATCCTGATGAAATACTAGAAAATACAAATACAATTAAGATAGTCTTTACAAAATATCATAACATCTACAGCTCTTCTTGTAAGTAGTGCTGCTGTTTATAAAGTTACAGAACTGTGAACTGTACACATTTCTGTCGATCAAGTTTCATTGGTTTTTTTTTTAAAGTAGCAAAAAGCAGGTATTAATTCTGTCCAAGTGGAGTGATGGAAAATATTGAAAAGAAAAGTTATATTGATGACCTGTCACCAGCTACATTAACATTTGGTTTTCTAGTCTGTCAATTTACAGGAGACTTCAAGAAAGCAATATTCTGAAATTGATCTATACAGAGATGCCAACCTCTTAACACACAAAAACAGACCGAGTATCCTAAAAAATCAGATTTTGGAGAGAAAAATCAGATTTTCATGAAAACTCTACACTACCAATGGCCGGTTGGCCCTGGGCCAGTAGAATTTCAGAAAAATGTGATACTGGTACGTACAGTCAAGTAAAATGTTTGCTCTTTCATCAAAATTTTATTCCACTCTTATTATCGTACTAAATACGATTAAATCATACTGGTTGGCATCACAGACTATATCCAAAAGATAATAATAATAATAATAATAATAATAATAATAATAATCTTTTAAAGTCCACCCCAAATTTTATTAAGTTAAACCGAAAATGGAAATTCTTTTTGATACAGTATTTAAGGATTACATGTATATTGTATTTCCTCAATAAGATGACACTTTTCCATCTTTTCAGTATTGAATTATATATATCTTATATAATTATGTATATTTAAGTTTATTTGTGTATAGTTATGTATTATACCATCAACTGACAAAGAGAGTCTCCTTCAGAAACTCAGTTTCTTTTGGTAATCCCAAGGCATTAGTTGATGTAATTATTGTTATTCGTTTTCTTGTATTCTTTGTAATTGTTATACTTGTTTATGTTCCTGGAAATGAAATATCATTAAAAATTAAAAATCAAAATCCATTTATCAAATCAGTTCTGAATTTCTGCACAGGATGATGTATTCTCTTAACCTTTGATATATTTAATATTCCACATGTTACTATTAATTGCAATGTAATGTACCCTTACCTGATAAAGGTCAAACTCTGAGGTTTTATCTCTGTTAATCCAGACTGCATTACCAGCTGTTTTACCAAGCTTGTCTCCAGTTGCACTCGTCACTAATGGGATAGTCAGACCTGGAAGATAAATAAACATTAATAAGTTTTACAGAATTCTGGGGTCAAATGAAGACAATGGAATACATGTCCATGTATGAACAAAAAGAAATGTGATATTGAGGCCATCTACAGATTTTAAACTTCAATATAATAACTTCGAGATTGATTATCCTTTTTTTTAATCTTTTTTTTTTACTAAATCAATAAAACCTCTGATAAAGGTAGGTTGGAATCTTACAGGTACAGATGGCAGCCTTGAAGGCTTAAAGGACAAGTCATCCTCATATACAAGTTGAATCAAATAAATAGAGACAAATTAAACAAACAAAACAGTGAAAGATTCATACAAAATATTTTGTCAAACATACTGTTTGCTACACAAACATATAATATTATCCTAATCCCACACCCTTTCAATATAAGGACTACTTACCATAAACCTCATTACCAGCTGTTCTTCTGATGAGATCATGACCAGACATGATATTACCCAATTGATCAGTTCCTCCTATCTGTTAATAAGACACAATAGTATAGTTTGATCAGTCATGCACTGTTTGATAGAAGCTACTTAGAAAGCAATAGAAGACATTGTGACAAGGATGGTCTTAGTGTTGTTTTTAAGTCTGGGCCCGTATTCAATAAACTTCTTAAGCTTGAAATCTAAGTACTTTTTCTTAAATTTTGGCTAAGAAAAAATCTTAGCCAAAAATCGTATTCTATAACAGCAATGGGGACTTAAGAAATTTGCCTTAAAATTAAGAAGGATTCTTAGATTTTAGCTAAGAAAAAGGACTTACGTAGCATGTCGTATTCTAATACAATCGAGATATCTAAGATAAGTAAGAAATCTACCCTATATTTAAGCATACTACGAGGATGCTTAAATGGGGCTTTGGCACCGGCAGCTCAGTGATGCTGCAAGCAACCGCTTCGGGTTTCGATCAAATGGAATAAAAACAATGCATGCAGCGCGAGCGCAGGTTATCAGTTGACCTTTATAACAACGTAAGCTTCGCGTAATACAGCGTCGACGGCGCAGCGCGCGCGCGCGCAGGAGCGCCATAGGCTCTGTGTACTTGTACTTATGTAACGTATGTTTGTTTGTACACAACTAAACGAGTAGTAGCATACATGCATATCATAACACTAAATCATGACATGGCTGTCGTATATAAAGAAACCGTCTCTTACTTTATTAGTCTTTGGCGCTTAAGTATGGAAACAGGGAATAATGTGCAATCGGCATAATATTAGGTGAGACAAAATTTGTTATAGTATGAGTCTGATAAAGGTTACATCTAGCCATTTAATTAATTTTAGGCCATCATAACAGTAGACGATGTAAAACAATGAAAGGGTAGCTCCAAATCCAATGCTAGCGCTGGTCGGCCGGCTAGCGACGGCGCTCCCTTCATACTCACAAACCCTGCGGCTGCGACATAATAAGTAAGCCCGGTTGGGCTTCTCGGAGTTGTTTGACAGAAAAGTATAAAAAGCCTACAGTAGATGTTAGATCTAGCCTCAGGTGGTCTTGACTAGACTGTTTTAGTGTCAGTTGGTCAATCCCGAAATAATTATGTGAGCATCGTTCCTCCCTTACGCTCTATCTCCCATACATGTTAGTGTATAATTTTCGTGCGGTGCGATTTTTATTTTAACACGCAAATTACATAGGCAAATCGAGTTGCAATTAATTCGCTCGAGTCGACCACATCAACTTTCCCACATGACGTCATCGGGTCTAAGAATTTGTCTTATCTTTCGTCTTAGCTAAGACAAACTGCTTTACGTGTTTAGAATACGGCTAAGGCAACTTTCTTAACCTAGACAAATTCTTAGACATTTTCTTAGACTTAAGAAAAATGTCTTAGAAGTTTATTGAATATTACGGGCCCTGGAATATTTTCTTGGGTGACTTCATCTAAGATATCTAGGGCTGGAATCTAGTTTGCATAAGTCTGGTATATTTTTCTTATAAACAGAGATAGTAGTCTGCATATCAAGATTTCCAAAAGATGTCAACAACAACAACTTTTTATATTCAGAAGACAACTTTTCTCAAAATCAAGATTCTTATCGTGTGAATTCTGATGTTTCATACAGTTTCCTAGAGGATTCATATGTTTAATCATATTTTTGAAACACAGATATGAAAACAATATCTTTAAATTGTGACATTTTAAATTTTTGTTTCTTTCTACAAGAAGAGAAAACCCTGATATATCATTGAGCTGCATATTTTGTTTAATAAGACAACTTGAGGATGAAGCATCTTTGAACAGGACCCTGTTGCACAAAACTTACCATTGATGGTAACTTTGCCATCAACAGCAACTACCATGGTAACAGGGCTTAACAGCCAATCAAAATCAAGGTTTCCATGGTAGTTACCATTGATGGCAAAGTTACAATCAATGGTAAATTGTGTGCAACAGGCCCTGAACACTTGAATTGCTTTTACCTGTATGTTACAGCCATATTGCTCATGTAAGTGCAAGAAGTCATAGGCCTGAAATATTTGATAGGCGAACTCAGAGAAACTCATTCCCTCAGGGCTGTTCAATCTTGTTTGGACGCTGGAAAAGTGAAAATGATGTTAAGGAGAGATAAATACTCTTTTTGTGAAAGGGAAACAATACCAAGTTACAATCAATTATTTCAACAAATACTGGCACACTTTTGAAACATACATTTCTATTATTACAGGACTGGGGTACGTTCCTCAAAACCGTCATAAGTCTAACTTCTTGACTATCCCATTAAAACGTGTATTAATTCTATAACACATGCTTCAAAGGGAAAGTCAAGAAGTTTGACGGTTTTGAGGGGAACAAGCCCCAGGACATCAATTATCACTGATATAAGCAGTCTTCTTGAATAAGGGCAATTGAGCATCCTTCATGTTTATGAAGTTAATGATGCATCACTAAATAAAAAAAGAGAAGATTTAATATCAAAGCCACAAAAGTGTGAAGTGCTCTGCAAAATTTAATTTCCAATTTTTTAAAAACAGAATACAATTATATCTTGCATGTCTTTAAGGTTGAATTTTTATCTCATTAGATTTAGCTTACCTCTGTCTTGACAGCATAGAACCCATCCTAAAGAATCGACCGTACGTCCCTAAGAACTGCACCAGGTTCTCTGATTTATACCAATCCTGGTTATTCATTATTCTGAAAAACAAAACATTGACAAAAATCTTGATAAATAAACAATGAGTAAATAAAAACGGTACTTATAAAGTGCTTACCAACAGTCTCTAAGCGCTAATACAGGGAATGACACAGGAATGACACAGGACTGATACAGGAATGATACAGGACTGATACAGGAATGATACAGAATATTTGAATATATGTACGGTATATTTTAATATTCTTACTTTACTTTTGAGGCTTGAGCATATTAGTCAGGTGGATTCAGTGCATTATCAATACTCTAAATTATTATCATTAGTTTAAAAAACCACTACTGGGGTAATTATTTTTACAAGCTAAGTATACACTCACAGGATAAATGTTTTGTAATTTTCTTTTTAGTGTTCAATAATCAGAATCAGGTTCATATCTTTCCCTTTACCATCGAATAACTTTCACAACTTCTATGTGGCTATATTTTTTACTTTAGATAGACAGAGATATTTCTACCTTATATCTGGCAGTGTCTTATCGCGTTTCCAGAAAAGTCTCTCATGATTAGTGAAGATTCGCTGAAGAGACTGGTGAATGGAAGCAGCGTTCCTTTCTACCAGGTCTGGATGTAATGATTCCCTTTCTGTTGATTTGCCACTGGGGTCACCAATCAAAGCAGTGGCTCCACCAATCTAGTACCAGTACATTCAATATAAAACACATTATTTCTATTTTTAAGAGTGATGCCTATGGCATCTATATGTCTTCAATCTTTTGCTGATATAAATTAATGATGTCAAGAAATCAATAGGATCAATTATTTTCACAGCATAGGTGGCACTGTTTAATATGGACCTTTGATAATGCCTTTAATAGGGCCGTTTACAATACCCTGCACATTTAAAGGTCGGGTGACATCCAAATACCACTGTCTCTTGTTAGCTCACTAATGATTATGATGTCACAAGATGAATGAGATCTGAAGCAATTTTTTTAGTGTGGAGCTTAGCAGGTCTGAGAAAATTAAATTGAAAAAATATTAAACAATTTACGAAATATGTTTAGATGTTTTAATAACAAAATATGAGTTGTATGCAGCCCTGCACATCAACAGAAATCAAATTATATTTGGATGTCACCCAATCTTTAAGGATAGCATATATTTCCTTTGAAAATTCAAAATGGCTTGATGGTTTATATAACGGATAACTAACTGTATCAAGAAGAAGGTGAGGATTGTTAGCACAACTTAAAACTTGCCTAATGAAATCATATTTGCGATTAATATTCATAAATTTTGAGGTACTAATGGATCAAAGACCCTTTCACAGATATACAGATATGTATTGTTTCAAATTTAGTTTAAAGGGATACTTGAGTTCTGTTACAGAGGGCGCTACACAAAACAAATTGTGAGATAATGAAAAATTGAGTGTCAAATTTGAAAGAACATACAATTTAAACGACAAAATCATCTTTGTTTCATCAAAATCCGTTCAGAGACGGTTGAAATATCCATAAATATACCATATCTAATATTTTGTACAACCACAAATATTCAATAATTTGAAAAAGCTGTTAAAAAAACGAAATAGCACCTTTTACGTTGTATTACAGCCGATGCCGATGTTGGATTTTTTGTTGGCTTTGTCGTGTTGGTTATATTACGCACAACCAGTCGGCCCATGTATTGTTATTATTAACTGATTAATTAACTAACGGTCAATGGTCACCATATTTTGTTTACAGTGGAGCTGAATTGGTACATGTATGATCGTTTTGGCTAAATTTTTACACATTTTGGGGCCTAAAATTACCTTCATAGCAATATTAGGTCCCAAAAGGGCACAAGATATGTCATAGATAAGAATAAGAGCAATAAGCATGCAATTTGAAGGCATTTGTGGTCTGAAAACAGAACTCAACTATCCCTTTAAAGATAAAGTTGAGTTCTGGTCATGCAATTGTATTGTGAACGAAAAGGTGTGGAATAGATCAGAAAAATTTGATCATGTAGCATGAAAGTATTGGTGTGTACTGCAAGGTTCTGGAGTCATCAAAATCATTACAAAATTTGGCCCAGTCTTTGTAAAGTAACAAGCACTGTACACAGAAAGAACTTCATTTCCTTATCATTCTATTCTCATTACTCAGCCAGTATACATTTTCTACCAAAATTGTTTGGCAAATGACATTTATTTGTAATATTTAACATTCAGTGTAAGTTTGGTTCTGTGGGAATTTGTTTTCTTTCTTTACCAGAACTTAAGTTTATCTTTAATGCAACTTACCAATGCTATACATTGATGTCCAGCTCTTTGGCAGTGTATAAGTGCTATGAGAGCTAGAAGATTACCAATGTGAAGGCTCTCAGCTGTAGGATCTACACCACAATAGATACTCTGAGGACTGGATGTCAGAAGCTTGGGCAATTCATCACTGTAGAAGAAAAGATAGAGGATTCATTCATTAATCAGGAAGTCCACCCTGCTATTAAGTTATAAAAGTTATAAAAGTACAAAGGTGAAAGAAACTGATATGTGAAAGTTTATTCTTGAAGAGTTATGACTGTAACATAATTAAATCAAGCAAGCACATACTGGCAACTTTGTGACATATCTTTCAAGTATCTTTCCTATTCGCTTTGTACTGGAACCATGTCCTTTTTTTTTCTTCTCCATTTTCCTCTTTGTTGATGAAGGATTAGATCTATAATGAGATGAATTTTGAAAATAAATACACAACAGACCAAAAGCATTGACTTCATTGTAGACCTGCATTATTCAAAATTTCAGCAACTTTACTTGCACATTAACATAGTCTGAGATATACAATACTTATTCAAAACATAAACTATTATATTACCTTTGAGGAGGGAATACATCATTGAAGACACCTCTATGATGGAGAGTCAATATGTTACTGTTAGTGCAGTATGTCTGTCTTCCATTCTGAACCACAAGTTGAGATTGAAGGTATCTTGTAAACAGTCTGTAATCAAATACAAAGTGTAGCTTCTTAAACATTAAGAAATTTCATTTTCTTGCGACATAATGAATAAAACATTTTCAATGGGTTTTTTAGCCTCTTGTTCCTCCAAATGTTGCATTCCAAACTGCTTGTACATTTTGTAAATCAGATTTATGCAAAGTTTATTCATAATAGGTGGAAACATATTTATTTGATTCTCACAGACAACAATGAAACTCCAGAAAACTCACCAGAAGGCATCCTAAAAACCTTAATTCTGCTGCCAAAAATGCAATATCAGTGCAAAAATATGAAAGTCTATCAAATGCTTCCAAAGTTCCACCTACATGTACATGTAGTAATGAGAAACTGGATCTGCCAAAATGAGCTAAAAGTAAAAGTAAAGTAAAAAAAAAAAAAAAAAAAAAAAAATTAGGGAGACCCAATCTACGAAACTGATACTGCAGAGTGCAGTGGCACATATCACATGACAGATATGTGTGAAGTAACCTCCTGTTTTGCCTTCCTTTATCAGGGTTTATGTTTATGATTCACAATCACAGTGTGTCTGAGTCACAGTTTCTGGCCCACTCTCTCAGCTCACTCAGAATCTAGCGATGTTGGGCAGCTAGCGTGCACGCACTGACTGTAGAAAGCTAAGAATAAGATCACTAAAAAGTGACATTATTGATACTTTTTCCTTTCCTTCTGCCCTTTGGGTGTGATTTTGGAATGTACTGCATTTGTGTACTTTTCCAATGCAGACGTGCCTAATGAACAGCCAACGCGCCCCCTCCCAACATTTTAAAGAACATGAATGATTAATTTCTCAATATAAAATTAAAAAACAGATCTAGAGTCTGGGGCTAGGGAGTAGGGCATCAAAATGCTAAGTCTGTAGGCCTACAGTCAGTAACAAAGAAAGACAAAGTAAGTAAGACTAGATCTAAATAGATTTCTAGACTAGTCTAGTAGATCTAGGTCTAAGTTAGACCGAATTTTTCTGTCTCTTTCGTTCGTTAGCCTCTGATTTGGGTAAGGTCAGCTCTCTCTTTAGAGACAGAACAGCCCTATACGCTGTAGTGGACGCGCGTTTGTGTAAAGAAACGTTACACAAAACTCGGCCAAACTTAATCCCTAATTTTGATATTTTACCGGATGCGTATCCGATGCATTTAAAGTCCTAAATTAGCTAAATGCTTAACTACTTCGGTTCCACTTACCAACTTGACTACTTGACTCCGTTTAATGGTCCCTTTTCAGGAAATTATGGGTCAAGATCGACATCCATGAAGAAAATCTTGCAGCCGGGTTGCGTATGACCGTTGACGTCATCTAAATCTCATTCCTTCTAGTCTACGCCGAAGGCAAAATGATTAGACTCTATAACGGAAAAACTGTGCATGTCATTACGAACTCGTAAGGGGAACTTCTTCATGGATGTCGATCTTGACCCATGGCATAATTTCCTGAAAAGGGACCATTAAACGGATTCAAGTAGACCTAGTCAAGTCAGTGTACAAAATATTAATCATGGACTGGTTCATTTATTCTAGAACCAAAATAAAGTGGCAGATCAAGTCAGGCCGTAATGAATTCAGTTATAGGGATTTAAGCGTTTTCTTAGTTGTGTTTCTGCATTTAATACTCGAATCTCATCAAATCGCAATCCCGTGCAGGCCCAAAGCCTGATCGCTGGCATTGCCATACACATACGTGCACGTGTGGGACTACACACACCACTTTTGCGATTCCTTTCTTCAGAATGCAGACAAAGTTACGAATTTCATTAGAAATCGCTAAACATACAATTATACAGAAAGTTATAATAATCATTGCAATAACATAATTTTACCTCTGGATGCTGAAGGAAGCTCTAAGAGACATTTTATCAGCAGATCAGTCCAGCATCTTTATGGGTTATGGTGTGTGAGAAAAGACAAATCTTAAAGTAAAGATGCCGTAAAACCATAGAGATAGTAGTATATCTCTATGCGTAAAACCAACACTTCGGGTTGTGTGCATTCGTGTTGCCCCTCCCCCTTTCGATCACCCAAGGAAAATTACCTATTTTTTTATATTTTTTAAATGGAGAGGCATGCACGCCGACCAAAATTAAAAGTGAGATTTTCATAGATCCAAGTTAAATTTAATTTCGTCATCATAATAGAAAGAGACCATGCACCCAGGCGCGGATCCAGGATTTCTTAGGGGGGGGGGGGCCCACTTTTTTGGTCCGAAAAAAAATCGTAACGACTCAGCCAGCCGCTAAATAAGCGGGGGGGGGGGGGGGGGGAGGACACTTTTTTTGTTTTGGTCTCGAAATTTGAAAATTTGACATTTTGTTCCGTGGGGGGGGGGTTAGGTCACCTTTTTTAGGTCAGCCGTTGGCATATTTTTTTTATTTTTTTTTAAATTTAAAAAAAAAAAAAAAAATCACAGAAAAGGGGGGGGGGGTGCTCCAAAATACACATATAAAAAACCGAAGGGGGGAGGGTCAACCCCCTAACCCCCTCCCCCCTTCCGTACGTGCCTACTCGTCTGAAAATAGTTTTTCCCCTCCCGCGCGAAGCGCGGAAGCTTTTACGTTTCATTAAATCATTAGAAAAAGAAGACGATTCGTTGTACAGTTTTTTACTCTTAATCCTCGTCTTAATTCATCCCCTCTCCCGCGCAAAGCTCGGAAGCTTTTACGTTTCATTAAATCATTAGAGAAAGAAGACGATTCGTTGTACCGTTCTCGACACTTAATCCTCATCTAAATTCAGTTTTCCCCTCCTCCCTCCCGCGCGAAGCGCGGAAGCTTGTACGTTTCATTAAATCATTAGAGAAAGAAGACGATTCGTTGTACCGTTCTCGAAAATAATCCTCGTCTGAATACAGCTTTTACGTTTCATTAAATCATTAGCGAAATAAGACGACTCGTTGTACCGTTATGAGTCATAACTACGCGCTCAAAAAACACGGGGGCGGTGGGCTATCAGCCCCCGTGAGCTACAAAATCGCCCCCGTCAGGTTGCTCACGGGGGCGATTGCAAAATTAAAAATCGCCCCGGTGGAATTATAAAATAAAGATAATCTTTTCTGTTATAACTTTAACACAATATTGAGTTTCAATTTTCAAACCAATGACCAATGAAATGGAACTAAGATTAGCGTGCAAGATTTCTCGTTTTATGAGTAGGCCTATTATTACCGATTCAGCTCGGAGTGCAGTGCCGCCGTCAGCAGTGGTTATAGGCCTACTGCGCCGTTAGTAGCGGTGCGTGTGCACGCTGCCGCGCCATGTCTGCTGGAGCTGGAGGCGATCGGGCAGCGACTTTGCGTTTTACACCCTGGCCTGGACATTTTCCCGGTAAATAGCAATGAAACTGCTTGAATGAGTCTAGTCTACGCTCCTCGATCGGGCGCGCCAGTTCCAAATCGAATCGTACATGCACAGACGTACGTCACGAAAAAAAAAAGTATATGAATGTCAAGCAGTAAATAAAGTGCAAATGAATTCATGTAAAACTGGTGTATAATTTCCTTTATATGTTATGTGTCTGTACATTACACTAGACAAAGTGATGAATGGAAAAAGAGAGAAAGAGAGGTCTTATAAACAAATATCATGAATTTAAAATGAGAAAGAGAGAAAGGGAGAGAGAGACAGAGGTCTTAGAAACAAATATGAATTCAAGAAGTGAGAAAGAGAGGGGGTCTTAGAAACAAATATCATGAATTGAGAGCTAGAGAGAGAGAGGTCTTAGAAACAAATATCAAGAAATGAGAAAGAGAGGGGGGGGGTCTTAGAAACAAATATGAAGAGAGAGAGAGAGGCCTTAGAAACAAATATGAAGAGGGGGTTAATGAGAGAGAAAGAAAGAGGGGTCTGAGAAATACATACGAGAGAGAGAGTGGGTCGAGAGAGAGAGGTCTTAGAAAACAAATATGAATAGAGATGGGGGGGGGGGGGCGGGGGAGAAATGGGTCTTAGAAAACAAATATGAAGAGAGATGAGGGGGGGGGGGAGGTCTTAGAAAACAAATATGAAGGGAGAGGGGTCAAGAGAATTAGAGAAATTAGGTCTTAGAAACAAATGACATGAATTTAAAAAATGAAAGACGTGATCCCACAATAATAGAAAATGGTACGAGTGCAATATTTAAATCACAGTTTATGTATTACATTACCATTACACATATTATGTCGAGTGTAGTCTGTGTATGTGTCGATATGTGTACACGTGTGTTAGGGGGGGGGGTCCGAATCAGCAAATGGTTTGAAAGTAGGCTACACGTCAAAAATTGAAACCCTGAAGAAGGCGGAATTAAACCACAAAAACCATAATATTATTTGGTTTCTCTCTTTCCTTACTTTGATTAATTCCTTCTCTAATTTCTCTCTTTCTTTCAAGTTAGTTTTTGTTTCTCTCTCTGCTTATGACATTCTTTGTTTCCATGTACCGCGTACCGCGACACTGGACATATATAGGACGTACGTTGAGCATTGCAGAAGAGCTACGTGCGCGCGCAATATCTTGTCATGGATAGACTTTTCCCAGTCGGTTCCTTGAAATTTATTGGGAAAAGGTCCAGGCCAGGGTGTAAAACGCAAAGTCGCGATCGGGCAAGGGCAGAAACATGGTCATGGCCTGGAGAAGTTTTTCGTTGTCAGCAAATAATGAACATCGACCAGTAAATCAATATTAGGGACTTTTAGATTTGCAACGTGTGACCTCCTTTTAAGGCACTGCCAGTGCTTAAAAGGACGTCACATGTGATTGTCAGTGCCTTAAAAGGACATAACACGTCCACGTCCACGTCCACGCAAATCTAAAAGTCCCTTTTGAGGAGAAGAGGAAGACCAAAATGTCGTGGAATGATATGGTAGCATGGGCAGATCTACGGCGGGGGGGGGGGGGGGTAGGGGGTTTAACCCCCTCCTCCCCGGCCCCCTTGGGCTGCCAAGTGAAAATGTGATATTAAAGCGGGGGGGGGGGGGGGGGAGGGGATTCTGGAGAGGAGGACTACTAATCTATTTTATTTTTTTCAGGGGGCGGGGTAAGTGAAGCGCCGTTTTAGCATGACTTTCTTTTTAACTCTTACTTTCACCTATCTCAGATAACCCTAAGTTTTTGGTTGCTGCTTTATATGTAGTTGATAATGCATGATTAAAAAAGAGAGAGAGAGAACCACCATCATTTTGCAATGGTTCAGGGTTCGTGTAATGTACATTTGAAACCATTTCTTAGCGTCTCAACCCTAAAAAAATAGCAAAACTATTTTTGAGGAAAAGCATTATACTGAATTAAATAAAGAATAATAGCTTTATATTGGATCATACTAATACTGATACGGGCTAAAGACAATGTGGTATTTGTATAGAGGTATTCCAAAATGACATTCTGATAATCAATTTTGTTCTGGTATCATGTATATACGCATAATACAACTGATCTTTATGATTTCTTAACGTGACATAGCTTCTTCTCCCTCTGCAAACAAAACAGAAAACAAGGTTATTTAATAAAAGGACCATGCGACAAATAATCATTGTGATTCAAATTGATGCAAGGTTTTTTTTTAATAAGCAATGCTTTTCACCAGAATCTTCTTTGTAAAAACGACTTTTACAAATCTCAGCCATGCAATTCTGCCACTGTGCTGTAAGATCACTTTGAGATAAGGAGAAGTTATTATGTGATGGGTATTTTAAATTGAATGGAACGTCTCAACTCAGTAAGCATGGCTGAGACTTGTAAAAGTTGTTTTTACAAAGAAGATTCGGGTGAATAGCAGTGCTTATTCAAACAAATATTCGCATCAATTTGAATCACAATCATTATTTGTCGCTTAATCCCTTTTAATGACCATGTTTTCTTTTTCGTTTGCAAGGAAAGAAGAAGATATGTCACGTTAAAGACATCATAAAGATCAGTGTTGTATGCGTATATATTATATACACAGGCCATTAACAGCTATGTAGCTTGTAAATTTGTAAGAGGGAAAATGCTGATTGAAATGATAATGATGAAATAGCATATAATTGAGGAGTATCATAGGTACCAATTCAATGGATATTTTTATAAAAAAGAGCCCCCGTCAGTAATAAAAGAGCCCCCGTGAGAAGGCTCACGGGGGCTCTTTTTTCGGGGGAAGAGCCCCCGTGGACAAAAAAATAATTTGAGCCCTGGTTATGACTTTTAATCCTTGTCTTAATTCAGTTTGCCCCTTTCCACGCGAAGCGCGGAAGCTTTTACGTTTCATTAAATCATTAAAGAAAGAAGACGATTCGTTGTACTGTTCTCGACTCTTAATCCTTGTCTAAATTCAGTTTTCCCCCCGCTTCGACGTTTCATTAAATTTTTAGAGAATGAAGACGATTCGTTGTTCCGCTCTCGGAAATAATTTAGTTTCCCCCACCCGCGCGAAGCGCGGAAGCTTTTACGTTTCATTAAATTATTATAGAAAGAAGACGATTCGTTGTACCGTTCCCGAAAATTATCCTCGTCTGAATTAAGTTCCCCCTGCCCTCCCCCGCGCATAGCGCGGAAGCTTTGACGTTTCATTAATTCATTAGAGAAAGGATTCGTTGTACCGTTCTCGACTCTTAATCCTTGTTTGAATTTCAAATATGTTCTTTGTCTATTCCCTTTTCTTCCTACGTCCTCTTCCTTTACACTCCTCTCTTTTTTGGCCGGCGTTTATTAGGGGACCACCCCACCGCCCCCCTGGCTACGCGCCTGCTGTCAGATGAACATATGTTGATACCTTGTCCGTCCCGGAAGCTCAGGGGTTTAAGGTTTTAATTTACGGTCAGATTAGCAGTCAGGGGTCCGCCTTAGCGCCCTAGACGGGGTCTAGGGGGCAGAGCCCCGGATGTTCAGGAGTTTAGGCATTTAATTACGGTCAGATGAGCATTATTTTGATACCTAATTGTTACAATGGCAGGTCACTAATTTGCTTTCTCTCCTTTTTCACTTTTCCTTCCCTTCCT